TTTTTAATGACACATTATCATGATACATCGCGTGTTAATTTTCATTTACCGACATACTCTCATGAACTAAACGCTAGGAACTAACAGACAATCTTATCGCATAGGAGTGAAATAGAAAATTACATTCATGCACGTAAAGATTTATTACGCTTTAAACTTTGTTTTTTATTATATTAATCTTTGATAACATGGAAAATGTCTACCAGATATAGAAGTGCTTGCTTTTAATATTTCTCCTATCAAAGGCAAATATAAGATAATAAGTATTTGACTTTCACTAGATGCACAACAACAACAACAACGAGAAAGTCGTTTTTATCGTTAAATCTCGAAAAACAAAAACTTACGTCAATATAGTATATCAGTCTTTAATAATAGAGTGTATTCGACATAATTTTCAACGGTATTCAATTGTCTTTAGATCCTCTTAATATTTATATTGAGAAATCATTTAAAATGCATTTATAGATTATTTCATGACTTTGAAGATAGAAAAAAGAGTGCTGTGTTCACCATAATACTATTTAATACTGTTTTTTTTGTTTCACAACATTATTGAAGAATGTTAGTTTTTGTATTGTATCACAACTATTTATCTATCATTCTCTCGCGAACAAAAAAAAATTGCCTTTTTCTATTTCATTTTCGCATCACTTCATGCGTTGTTTTAGAAAAACAAAATATACTTCAAGATGCGGCGTGAAAAAAACTACAATATACAAAGTGAACCTTATTTTAATTTTGTACTTTTTGTTTTCAAAGAAGGTAAAATTCTGTGCGACCAATGTTCGACGCTGCGAAAAAATCATTTTTTTCTATGCGAACGAGAAATTCCTTTTTTCTTATTTCATCTATTTATTAACTAATATGTTTTTGTAAAAAAGAAATAAAATATACCATAAGATGCAGCCTGCAATGCTCTACAATTTACGTAGAATAGTTTATCGAAATACGAAGAAAGGAATTTCTCATCGGTGTAGAAAAATGATCCTCTCGCAGCGCTGACAATTGGTCGCACAGAATTTTGCGTTTTTTGAAAACGAAAAGTACATAATTGAAATAAGCTTTACTTTGTAGATTGTAGAGCTTTTCACGCTGCATCTTACAGTATATTTTTTTTTTTATCGAAACATATTAATTGATAAAAGATGAAATAAAGAAAAAGGAATTTCTTGTTCTCATAGAAACAAATGATTTTTTCGCAGCGTCGAAAATTGGTCGCACAGAATTTTGCTTTTTTTTGAAAACAAAAGTACACAATTAAAATAAGGTTTACTTTGTAGATTGTAAAGCTTTTCATGCTGCATCTTGTGGTATATTTTGTTTTTTTTAAAACAACGCATTAAGTGATGCGAAAATGATATAGAAAAAGGCAATTTTTTTTGTTCGCGAGAAATTGTTTTCCAAAAAAAGCAAAAAAAAAATATTTACCGAAACTCAATCTGACTGAATGAAAAAAAAAAAGAAAATCAAATTGTTCTATTCAATTTTTGTTCAACTTTAAATAGCCTCATTACTAAGCAATAATGGTTCATCAATGGATGCTCTTTCAGCTGCAACAACAATACGTGTTGCACCACAAACACCAGCCGGTAATAAAAGAAGAAACGCCCCTGGAATAAGAAAAATAACTTCCAAAGCTAAACCAAAACCAAGTGTTGTCCATAAATAATGTCTAAACCATGGTGTACGTTCTCTTACACCAAATAAGTGTAATGATAATGGATAATCAATTATATCATATGCAATAATAAAACCAGTTGCAAGAAATTTCAGCGGAGTTGTTATTATAACTGCAGGTGGAAAAAAAAGTTCTATTAATGTTAATATAATAAAAATAAAAAACGAAATTAATAATGAAATAATAGCTATACGTATACTTCGCCATACACTAGACCAAAATGATTCTTCTGGTCTATTTGGATATTTTAAATAACGTTCTTGGGCCCGTACTAAACTCTCAAGTGCTGGTGAACTTAATGGTTGAGCTATTATAAGTGCAATAATTAGTGATAGACACATAACAACTATATAAAGTACAATACGAAGTATCCATATACCAATATGAGTCCAGCGTGATGAAAATTTTTGAAATAAACGATATGTAATTATATTCATTCCCCATATACCTATAATAGCTAAAATTAAAATAATTAATGTAAATAAAATAGCAGGTACTAATGCACGTGACCATGTTGATGAATGTGTCAATATAAAATGAAAACCTTGAAATGGTGCTAATATACCACTAATAAAACCAGGTTTAGTAAATTTTTCACGATTTAAATCTGATAAAATTTGAGTTTTTAATGATTCTCGATCATAGAAAAGTCCATGAATTTTTGCTGAATTTTTTATTTCTGGTTTTGATTCTGACGATGAAAGTATATAAACAGCTGATATTTGTTTTAATTGAACAAGACGATTTGTTGATTCAATTGGATCAGTAATCACAAGTGTTAAACCATGTAATGTTGGTGGTAATGAACATAGAAATTGATAACATGCATCTTCATTTGTAAATAGAGCAATATGAGAACGAAGTTCATTTGGAATTGATTCTTGTTGATTACTTTCTAACCAAATTACATTTGTAGTTGATGACATTGTCATTGAAAAAAAACAAAAATAACATATTTATTATTAATGTAGTGTATATATTTATACATCCTTTCATTTTTCTTTTTGCTGCTTGTTTCTCTTTTTCTTTTTCTTTCTACTGCCAATCAGAATGAAGTGTAACATCATACTGACTGTGTGTGTATGACTTTATGACAAAACGTTAGACAAATAAATGGTTTTGTCTACAGGCTAGGAATATAACGGTGCGCCACATGTTCAATGTTTGTATATATAATATATGTTAAAGAAAGATCCTTTAGACAATACATTTGATTGACAGTTATGTTTGATGTATATTTATATCGAGACATTTTTCTTTTTGAATAGAAATATGAGACATTTGACATTATAATTTTAAATCTCAAGAAAAAATGTTTATGGCTTCTGATGTTTTATTGATTCGAGGAAACAAATATATGCTTATGATATTTGTACGAGATAAAAATATCGGATACAATATTCACTATGTCTATAGCAAACGAAAGAATTTTTGCCAGCATGTGTTCTAGCGTGTGAACTATTACGTAGAGTTAATGTACATTTCTGTAATTAAAAGAATATGTTTATAACTATTTGTCACAGTGAGCGCAGACATTCACACACATTTTACTCGCCATGCTCTTTGATTTTCATTATAGACTATGCAATGGGAACTATTTGTTTATGAAGATAAAATCATTAGTTTTATTTTATCAATAAAGAATATGAAATTTTTCAACAATTGAATTTCCCAGAACTATTTTTTGAATAAAAGACTCATTGTTGCTTTGTGACTTTATATACATGTATTATGAGAACGATAGTTGATTCTAGAAAGATTTACACATTTTTCTGTTGAGAGGTTAACTTCTGAGATTATTCAATGATTCGACTACTTCATTGCTTTTTTCATTTTATATGCTTATTCATTTCGAAGCTTTGATTATGAGTTGATATTTATAGAGATTATGAGAAAAAAAAGAATACCATAACATGTAACAGTAACAGTTATCGTTATATGGTGAGAGACATAAGCTTATAGCAGCTGTATTTTTGAGTTTTCTTATCGATGGTAAAAACTAGGAAGAATCTCAAAAAAAAATTGAGAATTTTCTATCATAGTGTTCTGCAATCGGGTTGGGTATTCGGCATTTGACCTGGCAATATACAAGATTTGGACGTTTCAAAGTATTATTACTCTTTCAAACTGCTATATATATAAAAGCATAGGAATGGAAACTGATTCGATCATGACTGAGCAATTGATTGCACGTAAGAATAAGTCACAAAAGTGGAAAGTGATATTGTTTTGCGAATAGAATTCATTTTTAATGAAAACTCATCTACAAATGATGAGGAACCATGTGACGAAGTAATTGAATACATGCAGAGAAAAATAAATTATCAAGAAGGTGAAGATGTGGCATTGTGTTGGCGAAAGCATTCATGTATCTGCTCACAATTATGACGTGTAACATCAACACTAAGTTACATTCCAGTGTTATCAGCAACAAGAAAACACGTACTTAGCAAAATTGATTGGATTTTAGAAGCAGAAAGATACTAAGTGAATCCTGAATCACTTGATTTTTTGTGGAATTTGAGAAGAATTGTTTTTTTTTGTGGCTTTTTATGAAAGAAACTAAATAGTATTTTTTTCCATGTAAAGTATGCATTTGAAAACTGCACTATACTGTGAAAGTATCTGTCGGATGTCCATTAGATTTAGTCCGAGTTCAATCGAGTGCCGAGTACAACTATTCGGACCCGGTTCTAGTTCAGGTACAAGATGAGTGGATTCGGGTGCGAAAAATTGTGCCTGTAGAGGACATTAATCTATCAGGATTGCCAGACCTATAAACCCCAATAAAACACTTTGGATGAAGATATCTAGAGAACCAAGACCCACAAAATCGATTTTCTAATATTCATTAGAAGCTTTGTAGAAATAGTTTTATTTGACAGACTATATAGGCTCTCTTCATCGTACTATCTTCAATTTAAAGAAGATCTAAGAAGCATTTTTTATTGTTTTTATGAAGAATTTCAATAATTCCATCGTGGTTGACGCATTGAGGCCATCTTTAAATTGAAAGTAGTTCAATGAAGAGAGCCTCTCTGGTCTGTCAAATAAAATCATTTCCAAAAATGTTCAAATGAACATCAGAAAATTGCTTTTGAAGGTCTTAGTTTTCCAGCTATTTTCATCTGAGCAGTTTTATTCAACTTTTTAGGTCTACTATCAATCTTGATAGAGAATCTTCAAATGTTTTTTCAGATTCTTCCTAGTTAATATCATCGAGAAGAAAATTCAAAAATACAAATTCTCTAAACGTATATATGCCACCATATGTGCAATGAATATCAGTAAAGAAAAAAACACTAAAACAAAATTAACTTCAACCGATTCGTCCAAAGCATGAATAATTGATTTCCTTTCGCATTGTATCCGGATCTATGCCAGTGCCGAAAATTGGTAAAAAGCGATAAAAACATCTGAAAATTTTTGATATTAATATAGTGAATTAATTATTTACAAAATCATCTTACTTAATTCTTATTAATGGTGAATTATATGGAGTAAAATCTAAATTCCACATACATGGTTGTTTTCTCTTTCGATATTGATTATTGTAAGATGTTGATATTTTTTCATTTTCTATGCTTGATGATCGACTAATTGTTGATGGTCGTCTTCTATTACTGTTTTTAGTTGTGGTAGGAGAAGAATCTTGCTTTAGATTTAACGATTGACCAAGTTTTTCTGATGAGGATTTACTACCCTTTAGCAGATTTAGTAATGACTATTTAGAAAAGATACTTGTAAAAGAATTTAATAAAACTTCAACAATAAAAAACAGTACAAATTAATTAATATTTTTTTTTTGGATTTAACTCAAATACTGTGATACTTAAGATTTTTTTTCTTCTTTCTCAATAATATAAAATAAAGAAAATATTTACTTTTGCTGGTCGAAGTGTTCCACTAGGTAATCGTCGATTTTTTCGATTTTCTTTTTTATCAACATCGTCACTAATATTAATACTTGATGGACGTGATAAAGAAATTTTATCTTTTCTTAATTTTAATGAGTGAAAAATACTCTTTCGACGCGATGATATATTTGAATTATTAAAGTCAATTTCTGAGTTGTTCCATTCATTTTCTGTATATTTATTTTGTTGATTTCGATTTTTAAAATGTATTATTGAATCATTCATATTTTTCGATGATTGAAATACATGTTTTGAAGATTCTTGTGATTGTTCATTTAAATGATTATGATGATGATAACGTCGACTATCTTCCGATATAGGTACATTAGATGGATGTGGTTCATGTTGTTGTATAGCAGATGATCTATTTGTATTGTTAGAATATTCTTCATCGGATGAATCATCTGATGATGATGATTCTAATTGATTATTAATATTGAATACTTCATTCATTAAGTAATCATTTGATGGTTTTAATTCTATTTCAATTTCTTTTACTTTAATTAATTTTGTAAATGAAAATTCAAACTACATAGAAAAAGAGCATTTCAATGTAAAAGAAAATAAAACAAAGTTATATGGAGTAGTCGATAACTTTTGGCAAAGCTAGGCACAAATTAGATGGTGATTATTTTTGTACTTAATGTGAGGTTTTTCTGATAGTCACAACAGTTATGCACTAAACTGTGAATATCAATCTTTACAACTCTTGACTATATCTGATTTTCAGTTAATTTTTTCTTCATCTGTGTTTTCAGATGGACAAACAATGCGGCATAGCAGGGAGAACGACGGTGATTGCCAGAGTGACCATCACCTAATGGTAATTGAAAAATTTGTTTTTTCATCACATAAAGCTGAAAATACTGTGAAAATATATTTAATTAGGCAAGATGTAACCAGAGACATGTACATTTATAGGATGTCCGACTCCGTCTTAAATACTTTTGTAGTGAAAAAAGTGCACATTAACGTTTAAAGTGAATTTAAATGTAATGGTCGTCCTGATGAAATTCACTAAGTTTTGAGTTAGATATATTTGTAATCAGGATAACTGTTCAGAAGGAATGAGGTTGGACACAATTAAACCCTTCTCTTAACTTTTCTGTGTTTGATGTACATTCGTTTGGTCAAAATTCGTAGCGATAGAGTTTAATAGCTGGTATGATTAAGGCACAGCCGCCTGAAAATGAGTCATATTTGTTGGTTGGGCGTGGGCACTGCACATCTCTGATGAGATTCGCTAGAAGACAATCCCTGCAGCGACCATTCAATAACCACTATTACTGAAGAAAATATTGACTCTGTGAAAGATCTAATAGAGACAACATGTACGGCTAAGAAAGATATCATCACCATGAGTGCCTGATGAACTGACACAAAGAACAACGACAGTGACGTGTGAACATTTGTACTGAATACTTCGAAAAGTCTGAAAGCGGTTCATGTCGACTATGATATTATCACAGGCAATGGGAATTGGATTCATCATCGAAAGATTGAATCAAAGCAACGATCAAAAGTGTGGATAGCAGATGAAGAAAGTCCTCCAACTATCGTCAAAAGACAACTGTATGAAAAGAAAACAATGCTTGTCATTTTGTTTATTACTACCGAATCGTTGCTTATTCATCAGATGCCTTCTGAAGTATTTATTCATGGCATCTATTATCATGATGCGTGTGTGTCAATGCATTGTTTAAGAAATTATTAAAAAAAGATTGCCATGAAGAACAAATTTCACCATGAAAATGCTAGGGATCATGCGAAAAATGTTGTAATCAATTATCTCCAGAAAGAAAAAAAACTAAAGTTATGGCTCATCTTCCATACTCGCCTGATTTTGCTCTTTCACAGTTTTGATTTGCTTAGTTTTTTTAAAGATAGACTTGATCCCTATCCAGATGAAACAACCAAGGAGCTCAATTCAATATCTGCTAACGAATAATATAAGAAGACCTTTCAGAAATAGATGGCAGCGACTGCTTCAAACAGATACTATCGAGAGATAAATCAAATGTCTTTTCTATGAATACATTTATGGAAGTGACAGAATTTTTCGACTGATTTAAGTAAGATGAATGATGTTATTCTTTTCTTTTTTTTCGTTTTACCTGATCCTTTGAATTTCCATTACGTTTAATATAACGTAAAAACTCTTTTCGTACTGTGTGTTCAATTAAAATTAAATCAAGTAAACCATCAGCTAAATGACCAAATTTAGATAAACCTTGTGGTGCAAATGACCATAAATTTGCATTGGTTAATACAGCAACTTGTAAATAATTATGATGAAGAATTTTCCATTGTTGTTTTTCTTCATTGTGTCGATTAGAAAATTTTTTCGATAATGATGATGATAACAAACGATTATTATTATTATTATTTGATGCAAGTGGTGTTTTTCGTTGACTTATTTTTTGTATATGATCACTATCAAAAACTTTTACTCGATCATCAGTCTGTTCCATAGCCGCTGGAGTACATGAAGAACAACTGCATATGAAAAATTATTGCTTACGACAAAAAAAATCATAGATCAATTCATTTACCCCCGATAACAACGAGTCATAGTTATACTATTTTGATCTGCAGGAATATAACGAATTTCCACTTGCATAGGTCTATTTGATAGAAAAAAATTAAAATTATATTTGAATAGTATATGAATCATATATAGAATCAGATTATTTTATCAGGTTCTTTATTATGGTAAATTTTGCTTACAGGAAAAGATAAATCAAACTGTTAATTTCATTTGAGTATATAGAAAATGTTCAAAGCTTAGAATACCAAAATACATAGTTGGTTATGAAAAGGAATCCAAAAAAATCTACAAAAAAGTTCAATTACAAATTGATAATGACAAGATCTTCATAAAGTATGAAGCCATAAAACATCCGTAGCAATTTGCTTAGGAAAATCAAAGTAAACAAAAATTTTTTATAAGAACAGCGAATTCAGTTGTTCTACTCAGAAAATAATAAATACGAGCTTTTATTGCTATGCTACCCCAAAGACAGAAAACGGCTTAGTCTCGTTTCATCAACAAACAATGTTTCCCATTTTGTCGACAATTTAAGACGTAAGTAATAGAGAATACAAAGAATTACTACTTATTAAAACTGAACCTAGAAATATGACTAATCGCGATATTTTTGTTTGTTTCTAAATAATTACATGGAACAAGAGAGGTGGGTGTTGGTTGTCTATTAACCCACACTGGCATCCATAACCATAGTCTCACTCATACCCTTATTCGCTTAGATCATCACCTACAAAACACTAGTAGTGATTCACTTTAGCGATGCCCCATTACTTTCTAAAAGAAAAACAATAAACATTCATTGTGTGCTTAATTATTTGAGTCTTAGCTTGTCGGCCGAACGCCTGATTATTAGATTTAGATTTGTCAAAAACAAAGAAAATGTTCTCGATAAAATGCAAAGAAAATATTTGTTGGCACAATGGAAAAAAAACATTCTCTGTCGATGAAACAGGATGATACCTAAGAAACCCCATTCTTCCTTCCTTTTTATTACGGATTGGTGAACGATGAGTACGAAAACGTTAAGCACCGAAATGTTGAGCACGCAAAAAAAAGTGACGGTAGAGGGTGCAGGTTTGGTTGTGCGTTGAAATGCGAATTGGAATGAAGAGAAGACTAACACGTACGCTCTGTCCTCGTACTCAAGTTTTCATTTTCATCGTTCCGGTTCTTTTTTATCACAAATTCTTGTGTTATCTAATTTTCAATTAAAATCTTTCTAATATCGAAGTAGATTATTCTGTTCGTATAGTTATATATAATAAAAAAAATTTACCTGAGATTTTTATTCGAAGCTGCTTTAGAAAATGATTTTCGAATAGTTTTTTTTGGACTAAAAGCTGAATAACGTGTAAAATATTTAAGAGCATTAGCTGGAAAACCAGCTCCAGCACTAAAATTTGCCGTAACAAAATTATAATTAGCATCAAATACTGCTGACATATCAATTTTCATTCGATGATCTAAAATTTTATTGATGAAATGGTTTTAGAAACATATCTATTATATATTTATCTTACTAAAAAGTAAATGAAGAATAGGTGTATAATGATCTGTACAACCATGAATTGAATGACACATGATATTTGTTGTTCCTTAAAAAAATAAGAATCCATATTATAATAAAATAATTATATTTAAAAAGTTTACCATTCGGTACAATACATATAGGAAAAGGTAAAGTTGGTAAATCAAATTCTGAATTTAATCTATAATATAAAGCAAATTATATATCATAAAACATTTTGCTGTTTTCTCATTTACCTTGTTCGATTTTCTTTTGCTAAATAACGAAGTAATGCATTAATAACATTAATTACTGAGCCATCACCACCAATAATAACTAAACTAATAGGATAAAAATTCAAATTCATTAATGAACAAAAAAGAAATTAATGATTTCTCTCATACCCATATAAAGAATTAAAATCACCTTCGAAATTACTTAATGTATCATCAGTAGAACAAAGATCATCGATTTCTAAAACAAACAAAAAAGAAAAACGAATGTGAATAAGAATTTTACAATGACGATCGTTTATTCTTGTTTCAATTTACCTAAATAAGTAATATTATAATGTGCTCTATCGAACATAGGTTTAATTTTTGTATTATAAATATATCGACTAGATCTTGAACCAGCATATGGATTACAAAGAACAAGTACATTACGCGATGGTTTATCTGTAAGAATTCATTCAATGAAAAAGAAGTTTTTTTTCAAAACATTTTCATACATTCAGAAATCATTTTTGAAAGTAATCGATACCATTGTTCCATTTGATTGGGCAAATTACTTTGAAAAATAATAAGCATGTCTTGTAAAATATTATCATGTATTATGTCATATGTATGTAATTGAAATCCACGTAATGATAGATTTGCTGTTGATGACAATGATGTAGTTGATATAGTCATATTCGATTGATTTTCATTAATATTTAATGACGAATTCCACTGATTATATATTGGTGATATAGCATAGACGTCATGTAAATTAATTGAATTCATATTTTCTCTATTAGAAACTTTTCTTTGATGAGTTTCTTCATAATAAGCTAGAAAATAAACTTTGCTCTTTTTTTGCACAGAAAAACAAAAAAAGGAACTTTTTAATTTTACTTTTATCTGATAGATTTGACCAACTTAACATATCTTTATTCAAAATAATCTCAACTGTTGAATCATTTATTGTAAAAAATGCTCTTTCATACAATCGGTTCAAGTCAATATGACCATATAATGATGATTCATATTCATCAGCTATTTCTTGAGTATTCGGTTTATTGTCATTCTCATTTTCTTCAAATGCTTGTTTCACGGTAACTATGAAATATGATCTCATAGACAATTTAGATATTATATAATTTCAAACAAACTTGAAGGTTTTGTTCGACGTCGTTGTGCTCTAGAAGACATTGATTTCACAAATTTCTATAAAAGAAAAACAACAATAACGATGTACATCTGCCAAATGTGCTTCTTTTCCTGTCTTCAAAACATTATTTTCATAGAAAGATATGATTTTATTGCCACACATCTTATTAATAAGAACAATCAGATGCAGAAATTAACACCTGACCTCATGAAATATGAAAAAAAAAGTATGGAGACATGACATAGAAACACTTGTCAGTCTTCAATGTTCATAAGAATATTATACTAATTGAATTAAAAGAAAAACTCAAAGAAAAAGTGAAATTCATCATTGAAGATAACAATACATTACTAATTACCTGTTCGTTCGTTGGTACACTAATGTATTTGTGTTAATCGATGAGTACCATCAAAGCAATCGATCAGTTTTAAAGAAATAAAAAGAAGCTTGCAAATGAGAAGTTATTATTCTCTCTATGTTGTCGAGGAGAACAGATTGATATAATTTTTTTTTCTTGAAAGGAAGAAAAGGGGAAGAAAGAGAAGAAGAAACAAAAAGTCTTTAAAATGTCGATGTATTGCTGATGATTGTCACTTATTACAAGGTCATTTTATAATAATTTGTAAAGTTTATATTTTTCTCGTTCAATATTTTTTAATAGGACAAATCGGATTGTTTCATTTCTTTATTATTTTTTTATTCAGCTGTTTTTTTTATAAATTTCTTTCAATTGTTTTTTTTTTCCTTTCATTCACGCGATGAAACAAAATGAAAATTATTGAGCAACACACGTATGATTTTTATCACAAATAGCTATTGGCTTTTTAGCTAAGATACAGATTGATACTATTGAATTTTCTTCATTATATTGACGTTCAAGTTTAGTTGTTAGTTTAGCTAATGAATGAATGTATTCAACATAGGAACTTATTGTTGAATAAACAATATAACCATTTGGACCTCCACATGCACGAGCACCGATTGGTTCTGTTGAGCAATCAGATGATGTTGTACATTGATTTTCAAGTTGATTAATTGTTGCTAATGCTGTATTGATGGACATTAATTGCTCATTTGTAATTTTTCCATTAACAATGAGCATACCTAAATATAAAATGTTTTAAAAAATATTTTTTTTTTGTCAGACAATTCTATATCGATACTTACAGAAAAAGAAAAGAGCAATAGTAATTGTTTTTATCATGATGTTTTTCTGTTTAACAAAAAATTATTCGAAGAGAAACAGTATTTAAAAGCAAACATGTTATTTTATATCAAATAAATTACATACGTATATCATAAACATGATTGATTAAGATGAGAAAAAAAAACAGATGACATGGTTTGATTAAATGTTTAGATTTGTTATAATAATAAAGATATTTTGATACGATTTCATTCGATTTATTTGAAAATGAATATTAATATGAATTATAAAAACATTTATAAGTTAGAATATAGATAGATTCGCTTACTACAGGTTGCATTTATGAAAACAAAAAACTGAAATTAAATAAATTCATTTGATTGAATATTTTCTTATTGAGAAACAAACGAATGGATGATATTGCTCATAACATTTCGTTTTAAACTTACCGTATTTATTTTAAATGATACTATATCACAAGAAAATTCACTATTATTCTAAATTTTATATAGATGTTTCGAACTGAAATGCAGTGTATAAGGTAGAGTCCAGTGAGATATAAGAAACCTCAAAAGTATAATTCTCCTTAGAGTTTCTGTCCAGATTTATAGGCATCGTACTGAAATTTTAGTCTGTGACATCATAAATACCAACAAATTGAATGACAGCATTTCGACTGTAAGTTTTGTCCACAGAGAGACCTATTTTTGGTAGTAGAGTGCCCTGAAAATTTCAGCTCAAAAAAATGATTTCCTTTCCCAGACATTAAAGTTACAAAAAAAGGAAAATTCTAGCTTCTTTCGTGGAATACGAGTTATATTTGAGACTTTGATATTTTGGAAAGAAAATATTCTTTTGATCTGAAATTTTCAGGGCATTCTACTGACAAACAGATCTGTCTGTGGACAAAATCTCAGATCGAAATATCTTCATTCTATATGTTCGTGCATACCATACCAGAAACTAAAATTCTAGACAAATGTCTACAACTCTGGACAGAAGCTCTAGAAAGTAGTTATACTTTTGAGTTTTTTTGTGCCTCACTAGACTCTACCATAAACACGGACCCCGAATTCAAAAGCAATTGATAAGTTGAAAACGTTCCTTCGTCAGTCAGGGTATAGAATACGAAAAAGGCTTACTTCGTACATCTCTAGTTACGAAAAGATAACTTCCTCATCTGTATTTTTAATCTAAATTTATCATTATCTCAAGCCTCAAGAAATTTTTTATTTAATTTTCCGGGTCTTCCCAATAGTGGTTTAACTGGGAGTACTCGGAGGATATAAAACTTCGCTCAATCGTCGAACATTGTTATTCTTTTTTTTTGCATCCTGTTAGAAGAAAGATATTTTCCCTTTGCAAAAAAGCATCACTACCCTATCCAATGTTGGCTGGTTGGGGCTACGATTGGACTTCATCTGAAGAAAACTATATAGATTAATTTTTAAATAATTTCTGATCGGAAGTAGATGATGAACCCTTGCTAAGTATTCTGAAATATTTTCAAACAAAAACATATAAATACAACATAATCAACACGACTATAAAATCTTCTGCTCATTATATATTGATTGAAAGCTATAGTTTTTCTTTTCTTGTCTCATTCTTATAATTTTTTGAAAAACTCATTTTAAATTAAAGGTCCTTGTCGGATTTGGTGACCTATCTAGAATCAGAAAGTCATATATAAGATTTTGTAGCGTTTTTTTGAGGCGCATCGAATAGTATATAAGGAGTCAAGTTTTTCTCAAATTTTCATGCGCTGAGGGCTCATATACTGATTATAACGCTTAAGGAATATAAATGGTACTCATAAACTCTGTGGATCTCTATGATGATCTTGGATAAGTTTATGCGTTTTTTGTTTTTAGACTCACTTCGAAACAGTTATGGGTGCCATTTAATTTTTTATAATCGATAGTTTTTATTACTGCTGTTTTATAGTGAAAAGGGGTCGTTTCCCATAGGCTTAGGCTATTTATTGACTATATCATGTCTCAGTGTGCTTGATATTGTGTCTCAGAACAATTGATTACCAACGTGAAACTTTCTGAAAAACTGTATACTATTGACCTCTACCTGTTTCATATAGAACATTTTTCAGAACAGCAAGAGCTCATTGTCAACTTGCAAGATTCTTCCCTACTCTCTAAAAAAAAGCTGTTTCCTCGACAGCCCTTCAAGGATTTCCAAACAAGTGTTTCCGAAGTCTCAGGAACCCAGAAAAATCACTTATAGTAATTTCTTCAATGATGATCTCGGCAACAGATAAAATATTTTCGAGTTCACGAAAACCGAAAGGCTATACGAGGTCTGAAAATACTCCAGTAGCAAGATGAATTTTGACACCTAACTGTATGTCACAGAACTGACAATACCAAAGATATTAATTGCTCCGACTAAAAAAGCGTTTTATTCAAGTTTCACCTTAGAAACTCCAATTTTTGATTATTTCGATGACTTCTCGTGTCGACAAATGGTAAGTGTAGTGCTAGCTCTATCTTTTATACTCTCCTACATACGACACCAAGTCATACTTGTGTAAGCCAAAATACCGATAAATTAGGTGAAAATCGATTAAAATCAGATTTTTTATCGTCTTTTTTATATGAGTAGGGATGCACCAATTCCAAGTCTAGAATTGGAATTGGTGTAGCTCTAGTCATCTGTGTGTCGCCAATGGAAAATACGAGAATTAAATCGGCAACTTTACGAATACCCTAAACGAATTAGCAGATATATCAATTAACAATACGATCATTGAAAAATTTCATGTCACTGTCACATTGAAACATAGTACACGAACAATGGAGATTGAATATCATGGTAATAATAGCATTAGCAGTTCATCTGATATTATTGGTCTGCGAACAGAAATTCTATATATAATGACCTCGATTTATACTTTTAATATATTCACGTATTTATGCTCATCCGGTGATTATTGTGATAGAGAATATATCGAAGACTGGTCGCAGCGTCTATTTAATATTAGTTTTACTCAATTACAAAATACACTTTCAAAGATACTATTGTAGAAAGCAATAACTATAATAGCTCTGCATCAAGTGAGTGCTATGATACAGACAGAGTGATAAATTGTTCAAGCTATATATGTGGCAGTGAATACAAGACAGATAAAATGATCGCTAAGTGTCTCAAAAACGATAAAATACCAGAGGAAATAAAGCCACTAGCACAAGTGGGATCGTTAGGATTGGCACTTGCAAAACCAGTTCTCGTGAAAATTGAAAAAACTATAATGAAAGTACATATGGAACAAAATGATAATAGTATGCAGTCTGACCAAGACAAAGATCAATTGAGTCACACTATTTCCTATTTTTGTGGATACAATAAATGTAATAATCCATCCATTTTGTGAAATATAACGAATGAAATCAAGATTAACCTTTTGGCTGTCGTCGACGCATATATGCGCCAGGAACTTTATTAGTGTATAAAACTGACACAATCAATTGTAATGCATGCTTTTTTCTAAATTCATTTGCATAGAAATAAGCATCAGACAGCTGAGGCTTGTGATACCATCATTTCATAATGATATGCTCTAAATTTGTGTCTTAGGAAAAAGAATGTGCATAGAGAACAGCCAGTTTGGTGTATATATGGTTATCTTTTGTTCTCTCGCTTTTTTTCTTGATAATGTATGAGAAGCACGCACGTACGCCATATCTTTCTCCTTTTTTTTATACATTTGGGTTACTTCAATGCATTTTCTTGTCTTTCGTTCTTTCTTTCGCTCTATATATCTTACTCGAATATATTCTAGAATGCTCTTTCTTGTCCAAGCCAAGTATACATATAAATATACCCATCATTTTTATGAGTAGTTCAGTTTTGAATTCGGTATTTTTGTAACTCATCTTATACTGCAGGATAGTGAATAAACAGTAATCAAAATACACACGACAACAGATCAGAACTTAACGCATTTGTTTTGCGAACATGGCAACACGTCGATTTTTGGATGTAGAAGTCAATGAAATTTCATCAAACTCTGAATCAGTATCTGAAGTTGAAACAGGTTCAACTGACCACAGTAGTGACTCTGATGATGTTTCTGATGAACATTTCTTGCAACAAGCATCTTCTTCATTTTACAATGTATTTTTGACAACAGGATATTTTTGTCCCAAAAAAACTGACGTTTAGTTCTATTGGCAGTGGCTACATCTCTATACTCTCACAAACATTGAAAAGCGACACTTCTATGGACTTTTGTTTGCTTTTATTTTGACGAAGCCTTGGTAAAAACGATGGCCCATCAGACAAGTTTGTACTTTAGTCAAGTTGGGAAAGAACCATCTCAGGCGTTGAGAATACCTTCTTGGTATGATGTAACAATCGAAGAGATGTATTTGTTTTTAGTAACAACAATGTTGATGTCGTTCACAAAAAAAGAATAAACTGGAGAATATATTGGTCAACTGACAGATTATTAATGATGCCTATTTTCAATGAATTGTTCTCATATCATCGATACGTCATTATATCACGATACCTACACTTCAATGATAACAAAGACCAATCAGAAGACGGTCCACTGTATAATATAAACTCGATTTTATGTGAGACAAAAAGAAAATTTTCGAACAGCTTTTATCAATATCAGAGCCTACGTGTTGATGAAAGCTTAGCACTTTTCAAGGGTCATCTGAAATTCAAGCAGTATATTCCTTTGAAAAGAAATCGATATGGAATTAAATTATTTCTTATATGTGACTGTTCAACTGGATACGTTTTAGATTTCATAACTTATACTGGAAGTACTACTGAAATAATTAGAACTTCAGAACTTGATGTCTCTGGTTCGATAGCTATGACATTAGTGGAAAAGTATTTTGACAAAGGTCATGTTCTTTACGTTGATAATTGGTACTCAAGTTCGAAATTATTTCAGGCTCTGTATGAACGTTCAACTGGTGCCTGTGACACTGTAAAGTAGAACCGTTCTGGTTTTCCAAAATTTCAAGAAACATTACAGCAAGAAGAGCAGTCTGTACAGCACACTGCAAATATGGTAGCTATAAAGTGGCATGATAAAAGAGATGTATATATGTTATCAACTGTAAACGATTCCTCAATGATATCAACAGAAAAAAGAAACTCAAATACTCGTAAAGAAATTCTTAAACCATTATGTATAAAAGAATACAATGAAAACAGGGGTATCGTAGACAAAGCTGCTATGCAGATGAAGTTTTCGGAATCCCTTCGGAAAACCATAAAATAGTACAAGAAACTCTTTTCCATATAAACGATCTGTCAGTTCTCAATAGTTATATTTTATTCAAAAATATGAAACATGAAAATTTTCAGCTTTCCAAGTTTAAATTAGAAATTATTTGAGACCTCATTTCAAAGTACGACTCCAAAAGGTCACATATTGGCAGAACATTGAGTGCTCATCCACTACGATTGATCGCCAGACATTTTCCGTCTTTAATTCCTCCAAATTAAACCAACTAGACTCCTTGAAGAAGATGTCACGTTTGCAGCAATACTGAACGACGAGCGAAGGGACGAAGGGATACGCGCTACCAGTGTACCGAATGTGATGTTGGACTGTGCATGACCGACTATTTCAAAGATTTCCATACCTTACAGAGGAGATTAACGTTATCTTGCATAAATCTGTAAAACTTGATCGAAAGTAAATAGCTATGATCATTTTCTGTAGAGCTTTTTTCTTTCTTTTATGTCGACACTGAAAGGGTTAACTATGACGTGCAAGAAATGCTCAGTTTTATATCACGAGAGTAAGATAAAAATATTTTTATAGCAATTACTCATTAAAATTCTACATTTAGCTTAGCGACAAAAGCAAATGATACTAGGCAGGCAACTTCTATGAAGATAACAGACGGCACAAGTCAATTCAAGACAATGTCAATTTTTGTTTGTATATTGATCAATATTTATCATGCTTATTCGTTGAACATTGATTCTAAATCATATTCCAATAAAATGCACTATTCATATTTATTATCATGATAAAATCTTTCAGTTCATTGTGCTTATAGGACTTGATTGAATATCTCCTTTGCACTTACCGTCACCTATCAACCAATCTTCTTGACGTTCTTATCGATTTGAGTCTCTAATCGCACTTCTGAAGAATCAACGTTCTTTGCTTGTTCTAAGCAGCAACAGAAAAGAATTGTCATTGCAAAGTAGACCAAATGGGAAAGCGCATAGTGGAATAAAAAAATTTGTCTTTGTTTTCATTAAAACTCGCCACCAAAAGTCAATTTTCCGTAGCGACAATTTTTCGTTCATTCTCATACCAATGAGAACAATTTTTATCTGGACGACACCATTGACGATAGCTTTTTTCTTTTCTTTCTCAAATACTGGGATAAACTGAACATAACAGATGCGAACGCACGGTTCCTCACTCGGAATAAAGCAGTGTTTTATCTAGATTTTCTCATCCAAAAGAGTGACTTAAAACGCTGGTAGAGCGAACATCTATTTTTGCGAACGCAGACACATAGTATTGACACAATAGCTACAAACTTTCGAACGGCCAAGTTGATTTTCGGAGGAGCGCCACCTGCTCGGCTTCATACTTGATAAAACATTGGAATAAATAGAAGCATTAAATGGTTACAGATGTTTCAACATATGTTCCGAACTACGCGGAACGATCGAATCGATTCTGTTCCATTGCAAGAAAAGAATTTCAAGAAGAAAACACTTCTGCTCACTTGAACATCGAACACTTATCAGATACAAATCAATCAAAGATTTTTATTTGTTTGTAATGAACGCGTTGATTGATCGTTATTGGAGAACGGGATCGACAGGAAACAATATTTATGTGCATAGAGTCTCGATTTTGACTCCGATCATCCAAGGAATTCGACGAACTATTATCCATTAAAAACTCGAATATTCTTCATATCACTTCACGAGTGTCGGTATAAATAACAGTCTTCTTTTTTCCTTACCTACACCCTCCAACAATTTCAGAAATCACTCGATAATATCGACGGGTTGGTCAGTGTTCAATGTCGTCATGTTCAATCATGACAAGTATTTTCTTAATTATACATTCGTTCAATATCTAATCATCGACGAATCACATTTGGATATTTAGAACGATCTCTCCACTTTTGAGAACGTCTAATCTTTTTTTTTACTGGTTCATTCAAATTGAACCGGTGTTGTTCTCATGATTACATTTATTTCTACATTTACTGGCAGATATTGAAACAAACATCTTGACACATCACATGAAGTACTGACCTATTAACAGATGTGAGAAGAATTCCTTGCTATTACCTTAGCATAGAGAAAATACAATAAATTAAATGTTTTTCGAGCATTCGACATACTCTTTCTATTGATTTTCAGATTTTTTCGGGATTAGTACTCCATACCTTGAGTTAGCAGTAAAATATTGTACAAGAGAGTTAGTAACCAGTTACTACTAAAAGAAGGAGGGTGGTCAGCTATTATTACTTTCAAGACCAAGTTTTTTAGCGATTCATAAAATATGATTGATGTCCAATGGATTATTTATGCGTCAACAGAAGGTGAACAAAGTTCTGAGCAGCGGATGATCAATAAATATGAAGCTTATGAAAATTACAGGGAATGTTCGAGAGAGTTACTTTGAAAATAAGAACAAATTCCCATTTCTAGTAACTGCATAGTAATAAGGATAACAAAATTGCTTGATTAGTATTACATGTCTCATTAATGTGACCTCATTGTATCACTAATGCGAGGTCTTTTTCTTTTTGTAGGGTTTGGTGGTAGTTTTATCATCCATAATTGCAAGACTCATCACCGGTTTATGACGGCCATCACATGACTCCACTCCATGAAATCCTCCCGCTACGTAACACATTTTGGAGATGTTAGTTATCTCATTGTCTACTTTGACGGGAACTACAAGTGATCGTAGTGTTATTTGTTGAGTGTTGCAGCTTTTTTTGTCATGCAATCCGTAGCACAAGCAGCGAAACCATCCAGTAATGTATTCTCCAGGCTCTCTAGAAAAGAAAGACGAAATACTCGTTAGTTGTTTCTGCACATTTTACCAATAGTCAGTCTTGACAAGTAAATTTATTGTTTCGAAAGTCACTACTTTGAGTTGACTTACCTTCCCGATGCACCACCGCCAACATGCTCAATATCCATGACTTTTTTCCAAAACTCATGATTAACATTATTTTGATAAGTCTTAATGAATTCATCAATGATGGGCAATAAACCATTGATGTAACTAGCAAACGGATCCGTTCCATGTTTCGTAAAATTCTTTAATTTTTCCGCTTTCTGACGTAGAACTTTCCAATCCTCCAATGTGCCCATAAAGTGTATACGACGAATTCCACACCTTGTAATGAAGCACCTGTATTCGAAATAATTTTTGAATGTATCCATGGTGACAAGACATGAAAGATTAGACTCAATCAGACTGGTTGTTGAGAAATTAGCTGTGAGCGAATCAATAACATTATGCTTCACATTTTTGCCGACTTCTACACGCATGCGTTCGAGAAAATCCTTCCAACTGCAATACAATGAACATGTAAAATTATATTTCTTTCAAAATCATTCATGCTTACTCGGGTTCGATCAATCCTACTTGTACGATAGTCAACAATTTACTGCCTTCATGATCAACAAAAAGTGTTCGTAATTGTTCCGCATTTTGATTGACATAATTGGAAAAATAAATGCACACCATGAGCCAAATATCATCCGGAGATAAAATAATATCTTCATGCGAATTGTAAGCATAAAGAAAAGCTGAGAAAATAGCATGCTTTCCGTCGGACGATGTATCTAAATTCAAAGTTTTTGTTAAAAAAAATATGACATGATTCGATATATAGCTCACGTTGTCCATTTGCGACGACCTTTTGAATATTATAACGTGTCGTATCGCCTTCTTTGTTAACTTCGTGTATCCAGTAGTCATCATCTGGACGATCCTTAGGTACATGTCTGGGATACTCTTTTGCGGTTTGTGGAAGATCTGGAAAGATGTCAACCGTATGATATTTCGACGAATTCCTATTAGTAACTCCATTGCTGAAATCTTCACTCATTTCTTTCGTCGCTTTTGCTTTTGAGTTTAGTAATCAGTAAAGTGTTTGTCTGCGAAATGGAAAGAAAAAAAGTCTAACTGAGTAATCAACAAAACTGAATAAATAGAAGAGAAAATGAAAAGAAAAAAGGATTGACGAGAGACAAAAGTGGCGTTTTAGGAGGAAAGAAAGAATTTCTCAATGTACAATGAGTATTGAGCAAGGCGGTTTATACTTGTATACAGACATGCAAAAATGAAAACGTGGAGTGATGGCAATGCAATAGAAAATTCATGAATTCATGCGACATCTATTACCTAATTACTGAGTGAAGTTCGAATACGCATGTCAAAATTTTGGATTTTAGTGTGAACATAAATGAGAATGAAGAGAAGCACCTCACCAACACTCAGATCTGGCTTTATCATTCGATCATATACATTCTGAGCATGTTTGAACATTTAAAACGACTTTACCAATGCTGGCTTCTTGCAATATCCACAAACCAATTCATGTGTCGTTTAGTTTCAGGAAGAACAACGAAACGCGTTGAAATGTCTCGCTTGTAGGTCATTTAGACGATTGAGACGATCAATATCGATTGTCACAAAACAGAATAGTTTCTTTTCAACATATAATTTCAATATTCATCTACAACTCATTCTATCTGTTACTCTCAGAAAACAGACGACTGTCAATAGCTGACAAGTACTCAATTCAGAATGTGATAAAGTTTCAAATGAATGAAAAATGAGTATAGCTCGTGAATAATTCATGAGATTTGCATAAATTTGTTTATTATTTATTCGATATCAGTTCAATTTTTACTACATTTAATTTTATCCGCAATATTTGTTCAAAATGAACCATGCCAATGGAAATGCAGAATGATGACGAAAAGTATGCAAATTCGGAACTCATAGAGATCTGAGATGGACAACATTGATTGTACAACCTAACTAGAGTGAAGGCATTAATATGATTCAACTGAACACACGTACCGTAAAATATACAAGGATTTATTTCTGAATGATGATGTCTTTAAAAACTAGAACGATTCCGTTGCTCTATTCTATGTTCACGATTTGATCCATGAATAGAGTCTAACTTCGATAAATTCAAGGTATGTTCATTTTCTCATTTATATTATGTCAGAACCGACGTGTTTCCGTAGAAATGTGGTACTATAGTCAAAACCTGATTGATAATACGTTTATCTATAGCAATTATTAATCTAATGATATTCCTATGGCATGATTGTGGATTCTATTTTCTATTGAATGCAATTGAATTGCTCTTGTTTAGTATTGTTCATATTGGTGGCTTCTGTATTCGACAAAAAAGGAGCAGATAGAGAGCAATCTGCATAAATAACATGCTAGTTCCCATTGTGCACTCTCATTTCCAAGTAAATTTATTTCATAAGTAAACTTTTTCGCGCACAAAACAATGTCTCAGATCTGTGCATATCCTCCATCGACAAAAAGTTCAATGCCTGTAACATAACTGCTGTCGTCTGAAGCAAGAAAGACTACGGCTCTAGCAAGTTCATCAGTTGAACCAATCCGGTTCATCACTGTAGCGGCTTTTAAGGTGTCAAGAATCGTTTTATTTTCTTCTTCATTCCGTCCGAGGCGTGCCAATGCAGGTGTATCGATTGGTCCAGGTTGTATAATATTAACCCGAATCTTGCGATCCTTCAAATCGACGGTCCAAGTACGGGCGAAAGATCGAAGGGCTGCTTTGCTGGCACCATAAACACTGTTACCCGGATAACCTTTTACAGCGGCGATAGATCCACAAAGTATGATGGATCCGCCATCGGCAAGTAGTGGTAAAGCTTTTTGTACGGTGAACAATACTCCTTTCACATTGGCGTTGAACACGTCATCGAAATCTTTTTCTGTAATCGCACCCAGTGCTATCAATGAGCCAGTAGCTGGATTGGCGAAGACGATGTCTAACCGACCTTTCTCTTTCTGAATAACACTGTAGAGTTTATCAAGATCGGCCATATTGGATACATCACCTTGTATTCCAGTCACATTATTATTACCAAGCTTTTTTACAGCTTCATCAAGCACTTGTTGACGACGTCCAGTAATAAAGACATGTTCAGCGCCTTCAATAATGAACTGATGAGCAGCAGCGAAACCAATGCCTTCAGAACCACCAGTAACAAGAGCGATTTTTTCCGTCAAGTCTTCCCATTTGCTTTTACATTGTTTTTAAAATGGAAGTCACTAATTGATGGTTGTGTTTTGATCGACGATATAAAAAAAATAAGACACTACTTATCTATTTATATACCAATCAGGACCAGCATCATACTATTACGTTATTTTTTTTTCTCGTTGGCGAATACTTGTATTATGTAGATAATATTTGCGTTGTATATATTTTTTTATGCATACCTTTTATTAGCTGTATCAAGAGTGCGTCACCATTTGACTTTTCATTGATGAAAGGATCGACAAGAAATGAAGCGTGCATGCACATGTTTTGTTGAATATTTTGTATGCAAAAATAAACTGCGCCGACTGTATGAGAATGACTATTAGCAAGAAACTCATGACTGAAAATTCGCCAAAACAGCAACAAATTTTTTTGTCTCGCTATCATGATTTATTGTGAATAATCACTAGTTTTTTTATTCGTGCCCATTTTTACTTCTTTCAGTCGCAGTAAACGTATTTTGTAAAGATTCTGCTTATCCTACCCTTTATTCTTCTTTGATTCTGTTATAATAGCTGAAATTTCTTTTTTGACATGTTCACGTTCCTTGCGTTACATGTCCAAAATTTCAGACAGATCGAGAAAATAATAAAAACAAAACTTTTGCGGATAAGCTAGGAGAAAATACTATACAATTACAATACCATACCTAGGAGTAGCATGAATTCAATCTTTAACCATAAAAAATTAACCATGCATATTTATAGTAAACAGATGTGTAATGTTAAAGCAGATAAGGTTTACGATCCGGTTTGCTACATAGAGTTGCGTTACAGTCAAGAAGTTCGTATTATTATCTCGAGTGTAGTTGTGAGTGTTCTCTTCGTCCTTCGTTCCACGCAAACTACATCTATATCCACATCAGCACAATATCATCTTTTTTTTTCCTTAGAAACAGTGAATCTGTCAGAATAAATGAGATTTTGATTTGATTGAGAAAATTAATATATGGGCCAACTAATGATTATCAAGTTTGTTTGCGTCTCATTCATAATAAATTCTTTTATTTCTTTCTTATATTTGATATTTCATTATTGTCAAAGTTTTATTTCCAAGAAATTTGAAAAAAATTCATGCTTTGAACTTATTACAAGGGAGCAGGCACAAATGGTGAGGATGTTGATCCAGAGACACATTTGTTAGCTTGATTACATAATACTGAAGGTGGCATAACCATTGAACAAATAGATATAACTGAATTTTCCAAATTATATTGTCGTTCAAGTTGAACTGTCTTTTGTGCTAATAAACGAATTTTTTCCGCATTAGAGCTCTTAATCGCATATATAACATAACCATTTGGACCGCCACATGCTCGAGATCCAGTGGGTACTGCGACACAATCCATTGATGTTACACATTGATTGTCAACTTGAACGGCTTCTGTTAAGTCTCTATGAGCAGCAGCGATTTCTTCTCGAGTAACTTTAGCATTGACAGCAACACCTGAAATCAATACACATGAATGCAATATATGTTAAAGAGACAACAATTTTACCTAAGAAAAGAAGAGCAAGAATAATTTGTTTCAACATAGTATCGTTTGCTTTTGAGATAAAATACTGGAATAAAACCAATATAGGATTGAAACGCTGCCATTTTATATTTCAATCAGTGTGTAGATAGTATGTTAAAATTGAAATGAAAAGAAAAATCATATCGATTACACTTGTGATATAAAAGAATGCAAGATACAGCTGTAAATAGAGGTTTGCACAGTATTAATTTTATTATATGTTTAAGATAGGATTATATTTCTTTTATCTATGCCTTGACTTAATGAAGTTTGATAGATGACAACTCATCTCCTTTTGAATTATTTTAAGAAAATTGACTAAGTTTTCTAGATTATTTTGAAACACGATTCTTTTTCAATTTTTTTTCAGCTCTTCTTAACATGATCAAAAACAGGGTGCCCATAGTTAATATTTAGAATGAAGCATACATTTCTATTAAGAAAATAGAGCGTGTCTTAACTTCCGGACAAAATTTCCATTCACTAGCAATAATAAGTTTAAAATCAATGACCTAAACATANGTTCTTCACATTTAAAATACTAGAAAAATAAAAGTAAAATCAAATATTAGTTTTGTTCTATTCTTGTAGTATGATGCGAAGCACTATACAGTCTAACTGTACAAATCTTCGTCTTAAAGGATCATTTTTTCTTTCAATAGAATGGTGATTTTAAAATGATAAATTCTTATGTCACTCGAATTCGACAGAAGATTGCAATATATTAATAGGATGTGATATAAATAAATGTCCCTCTGTCAGCAGTATGGATCACACCTTATGAAAAGATTTTTAACAAGTTAGTGGACTAAACATTTAGAAATGTTCTTTCGTCAAATTCCAAAAATCTATAAAGCACTCAAAAGTTTCTGTGACATACTGGTAGCTGTCTATCCTTGCAGGTATTCTCAAGTCAGCACATTTGATAGGGACTAGATCAGATATAGTTGACATCTTTCGAAGTTTTCTTCATGTCGAAAATGTTCTGGAAATCTATATTTTATAAATAGAGAAGTCTCCATTTACTTTAGGTTTACATCAAACAAAAAATACTTCAGGCATATTATTTTATACACTCTTTGGTGTATTTATCACTATTTTAAAGCCAATATTTAATTAATAATGGTCCAAATGTATAAATGTCATGAACAAGAATTTCATAGTCCTAATATGAAGAAAATTCATAAATAAACTGTTTTGCTTTATTTTTTTACCTTCATTAAATCTCTTTCAGATGATTCTAAACGAGTTTCATTTTTTAATGATTGTTCTTGTGTAAATAGATCGTAACATTTTGATTTTATACGTTGTGATAAAGGTAAAAGATTTGGTTCAATAAGATTTGTTCATAAATTAAAAATAATTGTTTGAGTATACACTTAAAAAAAAATCATATACACATATTTACTCGGTATGAAGCTGTTCTGACTGACCTACATTTCTAACATGGTACATGCACTAGAGATTCTATAAATCTAGCCTTAAGAATGACTGAAATCCCAAAGCCACATAGGTTTTCTCCTATTACTAGTTGTGAACAGTATCTATTGGAACTATAGCTAACAAAACCGTATTTGCTAGTCAGGCAAATCTTTTTGTTATCTTTCATTATGAGTGTGGGGTGTGAGTGTGGATGTCGATGTAGGTAAAGAGAAGAAGCACATACACCCACACCCCCACCCACACCCACACCCACCACACCCACACCCACACCTTTTTTCGCGGAACGTCTCAAGTAAATAATCCATCGATTGCAGTTCTGGACGTGAATATCAATCGATAAAGAGCTACGTATATCCATCATCATACCTCAAATGTGGCACGTTTGTTTATCTTAATTTCAAAAACAGGACATATTACGATAGATTGAAAGGTTGGATATTCAAATCTTCGATTCATTTCTATTTAAAAGTTTGGATGTGGCTATTCAAAGAGTATTTCTACATCCACCCACACACCCACACTCTCGCTGGCACTAAATACAACGTTCATCCTTTGACTACGGTCTAGGACGAAGTAGAAAGTCTCATATGTACATTCTCCACGAATAGGCGTAGCTATTTGTCAGAAATATGGCCGTCTCAATATACACTAAAAAGAAAAGTATTCTTCAGAACTTTAAAAACTTTATTGGTGAGTTCAGAAAAGGTCCTTCCGTTGTATAAACGGAAAGAGTTTCCTAAAGGTTTTGCACTGTATAGCAAAATAAAAAGACTAGCACAAAAAGTACAAAGTGGTTTTTTTAGTTTAACTTAGTTTTTATCTGCAAAGGCAAACGTTGATGTCTTCGACTGGAATATGAATGAGAGAGATAGAAAACACTCAAAATGAATGAATGAAAGTGATTTGAATTATCTCTTTTTAGAAGTTGTGGGTGTGTGTATGTGTCTGAGTTGTCATTCTTTTGTCGACCTACATGTTGGTTTTCCTCTTTGAGTATGTTTTTTGTGGTTTAGATGTATTTGCTGACAATAAGTTCAAGGTTTTTTATATAAGATCCTCGTTTCAAAGTTAATAAAGGTGAATGACAAGTTCTTCAACTTTTCTAACGTTAGTTTAAATATAGTTAGCGTTGTCTATTTGATCGAAGCGATGTTTTAGCACTGTCCAGTAGTGTTGGAGATCAAGATAAAAACTTGCGAATATGTTTAATAAAAATGTGTCCCCAAGAGTGATCGAAGGCGAACAAAAATATTGATAGATTCTAATGGTTCTGATTCATATATTCAATACTGTTCTTCTTCAGCTGTGATAAAGAATTCCTAGCTGAATTTATTGACAGCAGAAAAATATTGATGCTTGTCGCAGCCTTAGTAATCAAAAAATTAGGATAGGATTTTGGCGTCACAAAACTTTTAGCCCTGCCACCGATATGTATGAAACACAAACTGGTCAGTGGACAAAAGATGAACTAATCTATAGCAACTCGTCATTTGTCAGAAGAAAACAAAAAAGTATCGTGACGTTGTCGTCTATCCTCATATGTTTTTTGCCGTCATTAGAATGATACTTAATTCATAAATTAATCTTTCTTTCGAACAGGATTCCTGCACTTTTTTCTGACGCTATGCGTTTTGTTTATTTTGTTACTGTTTAGATATGGATGAGATGAGGGCTATTACGACGACTCATGAACTATTTTCTCCCAAAAAAAAACGAAATCATTTTCACAAACCGAAAGATCATTCAAAAAGTGAAAATATCATAGATTTTTATAATTATTTTTATTTATATGACAATGTAATATAGTCTCGGCTATTTAAACTTAAAGCGCATAATAAAAGAATAATTGTAGAATTAAATTTTAAATTAAAAAGGATAAAACGAAATTAATCCAATCAAATATTTTGTGGGATAAAATTTAAATTAGCTTCGTCTGACCAAGCTGCATATTGTGAATTATCCATTAAGTCAAAATGACGATTCGTTGGCAATAATTGATGTTTTTGGCCACCGATTTTTTCTCTACACTCTGGACAAAGACTTTCTTGATTAGCACCACCACACTAATCCATCGAAATTACAAAAGACACATTTTATTTGTGATAAATATTTTAAAATGAGTACATACTTCAGTAATCACATATGGATGACCTTTCGGACAAACATACCAATGACCTTTTTTTAAATTTAATGCAGCAACGATTGCTACTCGTTCATTTTCAGTTATACCCAAACCAGGTAAATTATATAAATGTTCTAATGTTTTAATGAGACTATCAAAATTTTCTTTATCTATGTCAGTAAAACGTCCTACTTTTTTTGTAAGATGTTTCAGAGAATCAAGCAAATTTTGTTCATCAGATTTTAGAGTACATTTTGAATTTTCATTTATAAATTTTAAAAGAGCTTCGTAGTAAATTACTCGACGAAAACGTATTAATTCAGCTTCAATATCCTTTATTTGCTGTTCGGCAAAATTTCGATTTTGTGGTTTTGAAAATAAATATTTAATAATATGATGCAAAGGTAAGCTGAGCTGTAAAATAGAAATCAATCGTATTAAAAACAAAAAAATATCAAACTAGAAAAATATACTTACTAAATTCGCGAATACAGTTTTTGGCAATGCCTTACGTCCATCAATTAAAAGTTTATCAATTTCATTAAGAAATGTAAGAATGTTTTTCATACGAATTAATATCTCGTCATAAAGGAAAATATTAGAATCATATAATCTATTGAAAAAGTTCTTGTTTTCTCGAAGATTAATTTCTTTCAAATTATTTTCTGTTTTTTCGAAGTCTTTTATTAAAAGTATTCGTTGTTCATTGAGCTCTTTTTCAGTTTTATTGCCTAAGATTTTCTTTTTAACTTGTGCGATTAAACTATGTACGCGATTTAGAATTGGCATATATCGCATACAACGACGAATACTTTGTTTACACCGAGGACATTCTGGAAAACGAATAGCAGTATCTTTTTGTGAATTATTAAATGAATCGTTAACATATTTATCGAGTGCAGTGACTTCAACTAAATTAAATTATAATAGATTCGAATAAATGTTAAAATAAATTTTCAAAGAAAAACAAAACATACTTATATGTTTACAATCAGGTAGGAAAACAAAGCGTGCATCAGGTTCATCTTCTGTACCAAACAGTATTTCCTGTACAATACGTTTATCACAAATTCGGCATTCCCGAGGACATGGTTCACAACAAAAACCAATACCTATTAAGTTAAATAAATAAAATAATACTTATCGTATAATTCGTTGTACTTACAAGTATGACCACATTTCAATTTTTTATCGCAGGGTTCATTACATGGATCACGATTACAGGGTTCCGAACATAAACGAGTACATTTAAGATGTTTGCATTTATAAGCACATGGCTAAATATAAAATCTTGTCGTCAATCTATATTGTATATTAAATGAAAACCTATCATGGCTACGTATAATTCGAAGACGATTGACTTTCATAAAGCATAGAGTGATTATTCTCGTTTGACTACAAAGCTTTCACTATACGATTGCTACTTCTCAAAAGATATATAACCTTTTCTATTTTTATGTACGAACCTCTTTACACGGTGCGCATACTTCCCCACATCGCTTTTTACATCGTGAATGAATACAACGTGTTTCACACTCGCGTTCACACGGTGGACAATTAACAGCACATGGTTCTTTACAAACCTAAATACCACAAGAAAATATGAATCTTCATATCTTCTTACAATTAAATTTGATTTACATGCGAACAAATCAATGAACGTTCACATTTTTGTTGACATCGCATATGTAATCGACCAGAATGGCAAGTATCACATGTTCCAGCACATTGATGTTCACAATCAAGAATTGTGTTGCAAGGATTCCAACAACGAAAGCGTTTTAACTGAGACGGCGATGAAGCAATACGACATGGAATATTAGCCGTATGATCACAAGGAAGAAGTGCCATAACTAGTTGTTTGCAATCATCATTAGTCGGTGTTCGAGCACATTCAAAATGTATGTTATGACCACATGATGCTATTGTTTTGTTGACAAGAATTCGACACGAATTATGTTGATTTGTTGTTGCAACATGACATTGTTTCGTACATGCATGACCACATGGTAAGGATTCTTGACATTTTTTATGACAAATTATATTTCTATGTCTATAAGAAAAGGGAAAATTAAATATTTTTTAATTTAATAATTATCTTTTAATTTACTCAGTATCATAATTATGACACATTAAGTCACATTGATGTCCACATTTAAGTCGACTATCACAAGGTTTATTACAGCCACCTTCTGCTCGATTTAAAAATGATTCAGGTGTATTAGCAATGAGCTTGTGTGTTGGATGTTGACTGCAAGTCAGAGGTAAACCTAAAAATATATCGCTTCATTTTTCTTTTATAGTTTAATACAACGATTAACGGACCTGTTCCTATTTTATTAGTATCGATTAATGATTGAACTATTTTCTTCCATAGATCTTCAACTTGAACTAATAAATTCATATTGCCAATAACGAAAAGACCACAACGTGCACGTGATAAAGCCACACAAATTCGATTATGTGTTTTAAGAAAACCTATTTTATTATCTGTATTGCTACGTACTAATGATAGAATAATTATGTCGTTTTCTTCACCTTGATAATTATCTGTTACCTGCAATGAAACAAAAATAATGATCGTCAAATCTGAGTTAATAATACCGTAATATGGACACCACGTAATAGGTTAATAGATTTTGCTTTTTTAGCAATAAATTGTCTTTGACCAAGATACATAACCAGGATAGTTATTTTCTCAGCTGGATAACCTTGTTTTCTTAAATATTGTGCTAATTCAATAACATAATTTGCTTCGAATTCATTTCGTTTTGAACTTCCATCGGCAACAGTTGTTTCTGGGTGTGAATGATTTATAAAAAAAATATTACTATCAACACCACGAACTGATGGTCGATTCTCTTTAACACTTATATGATCTTCCAAATCATCATAAAAATGTTTCATAAGACTTGCAATTTCTGAATGCATACGATGCTTTAATTATTAAAGAAAGAAGAGAAAATGAATATAATAAATCATTATTTAATTTATTTCGATTTAATATTTCTATAAATTCTAATGATAATACATATAGAATGAGGATGAAAAAAAAATTCATCCACAGGATTCCATGTTGTTTGAAAATGATACCAAAGAATCCAGATGAAATGTAATACTTCTCTTTTATTTAGCATATCTAGGGTTCAATGACTAACATCTGTATACTCGGTTCAAGGTTCAAAAGAAAATTCATTATAAGGCGTATTAAAACAAAACTATTATGCTTCTTCTCAAATGTATTATGATTTTATAAAGCTTTTTATCTGGAAAAGCCATAAAATCTCAGTGAAAATTTTCAGGTTACATTTGAAATGCATTTAAGTTCTTTCTTCAATCTGGTATTCTATCGTCGCTTGATGGAACAAATCTTGAATTTCAGGCTAAGCACAGTTGTAAACTTACTTGAATATTCAATCGAACATTTGGAAATTTATTCTTAATAAGCCGTTCAAATAATGACACATCAATATTATATCTCGTTGCAAGATGATACACACTTGCACTAGGACGCAATTGTATATGATCACCAATTAAAATCAAATGTTCACATTTGGAACTTAATGCTGTAATAATATGTGCTTCAAAAATTGCAGCTGCTTCTTCAACAATAACAATTTTACTTTCTGAAAACAACAAAATTACTCAATGAATTCTCGAAAAAAGATATATTATATTTTTTCTGCTCACGAAGTTTTTTCAATACAGCATGACATTTTGCTGCACATGTTGTTGTCATCGCCACAATAACACTATCTTTTAAAATATAATAATCTTCTTCTTGATATTCTTCGGCAAGTTCAGCTGTCGCTTGATGATATAAACGTCGTTTATCACGATCCCAATCAAATATACATTGTTGATATTTTAAAAGCCAATAACGATATAAATCATACCTTTCATTCATTGGAAGTTTCCAAAGATCACTACGTATTCGCTTAACTGTTTGATCATTCAATGTTGTTGGATTTTGCATGATATATTTTATTGATCGACGATCAGAATCAGGTTTTCTTTGTGCATGATACCATTGCCTTTCGTCAATATCATTATTATTATTTATTGTAGACATTTTTACTTTTGTAGATTCTGATTTGCTTTTGGTATAAACCATAAATTCGTCATCATCAATATCAATTTCACCGCGTCGACGTTGTTCTTCTTCCTCTTCTTCGTTGATATTTTCTTCATCGATTGGCGCTTGACAATTATTAGTTGTTCTTTCTTGCTCATATTCATTCATATTCGGCATCGGTGCTGCACATTCCATTAAATTAATTTGGCTTTTAGCCATTGAATTATATTCAGGATCAATATTAAGCCAATCTGATAATATCGTTTCCTTATCCCTGTTATAATAAGGAGCTAGTAACGATGAAAGATGTTCATTCGCGATAATATATCGATCCATAAGTGATGAAAGTGGCATGATAGTTGTGCGTGATTGTTCTATTTCATTTTCGTGTATTTTTAATTCTTCTTGAGCTTTTGTCTTTTTACATAAGATAGTGTGTTTTTGATGATAAATATGACTTGGTATTAAACGATTTTCTCGAACACGTCGACGAGCATCAAGTAATGAAAATTTTTGAATGATTGGATTTTGACTTCGACCACCAACACGAATAACACCTGAAAATCCATCACTATCAGATTATTATTTTATATAAAATAAAATCATTCAAACCGTCATTTATGTTGAGACGTTTTATAATTAATTCTAAAAACTGATCGAGTGCATGATTTGTATGACATATCATTAGAATGGGTGTTGATTGTAAACCTGATTGGCACCATACTGATCGATTATATAGTAGCATTTCAACAATGCGTACACCAAGGTATGTTTTTCCTGTTCCTGGTGCTGAAAAGAAATATGAAGGAAAAGAAATGAGAAATTATTTTGAATAAATTGCTTTATTTTTATCGAGCGAATTCATAATTCAAAATAGTTCTAAATCAACAATCGATGGCACGACGGAAAATTAATTAGGTTACCTCCATACTTTATTTCGTAATATCTATTATTTCTATAATATTTTGTCGAATTAAAACAGTGCAATGTTAAGAGAAGTTGCACGATCAAAGTGTTGAAAATCAACTAAGGTGATCGTCAATCAAATGAATGAAGATATAATAATTAATTATGATATATAGATATTATGATATTTCATCTGGAAATGTTTTCGCTTATGATTCTCTTCATATTTAAGCTTACTTACGTCCTTGAATAAGCGCTACTTTCTGTGTTAAAGCTAGAATTAAAGCTTCGCGTTGTTTTGGATTAAGATGTAACTCATCACTTGTTGGCCATTGATTTGTATCTAGTAATGAAACCGACTTGTATTTGACTGGTACCTGATTAGATTGTTTGTATGTAATTCGAAATTCATTATTCATAGGTTGCACAAGTAAATCTTGTCGTGATCTACCAAGTCTAGATACTAGATTAGGTTTAATAAGAGTCGAATCAACGTGAGAATCCGGATCAACGAGAAGAGGGGTAAAGTCATAAATTGTTTCTGGCCGTATATAATCAGGCGAAATGTTTGCATTAGTTAATTTAAGTAAAAATGGTTCAAAAGGAAATGGTTGATTAATATCGATTGATTGTAATGCTTTTAGAACTGGACGGTAAGCTTCAAAATACGTCGTCGTTTCAATCATTGTTAATACATGCGACAAGTCAATGTCATCAAGATGAATTTGTATCTGTTGAGCCCTATTGATATTCTCTAATGGTTTGACCTAATAACATACAATACACAGTTAAACAAAATAAGATAATGGTTTTTAAAAAATTACTGATATAATAAAGTTCTTTTCAATATTTGATCGATCTTCAACAGTGGCAAATATACACGAGTGAAATCGATTATAGGTAAGAACGAGTAGATTGCCAAACATTAATCTTCTACTATTAGCCCAATATATTTTCGATGCCGACTTAGGATCCAAATACAAATCATAAACGATACCACTTCGTGGATTTAATCGTGGACCAAGTGAGCGAACATTTTCATATATTCGTACGTTGAAATTTTTGCCTTCGACATTATGTATGTATTGATCAATACCGTCATGTAATGGACCAAGAAAATCTTCACGCAAAAGACGAAAATGAATCTTAAGAAATAACTAAGTATTTTTTTCTTTTACGAAATGAAAAAAAATCAATGCATACATCAAGATACTGGTGAGGATTATCGTAAACACCATCGATAATATTTTTTCGGAGATATGTTGTTGTTTCTGATAGAATTTCTTTTATATCAGGAACAATATTCAATTGACGATAATCATCTAATGGTGGAGTATTATCATTATTGCCCATATTATGATTAACTTTTTGCTTCTTTGGTTGTCGGCGATTTTCTATTTCCTTCAATCGTTCAAGTACTTCATCGAGCACTGTTTTTGTTTCTTCATATTCCTGAAAGCACGAAAATCAATACATATAATCTTTGAAAATAAAGTTTTATCAAACTTGTCTTACAAGTGATTTGATTTCAACTTTAGTAAGTAACAACTCTATGCGTTCGAATATTTTCATCAAACTACCTGCTGAATGAGGTATCATGGTTAGAAATGTGTTGGATACTTTAAGAAATAATTGAATAAAAGTAAAACGCAATTGATTGGTTATCAAATCTGGTTTGCGAATTTCATGATAAACACCTTCTAGGTATTGTGATTTAGATATTTGTCTAAAAATCATGACAATACGTTCACGTGATTCTATACATTGTGTAATTTTTTCAAGTAAAATTGTCATGGAATTTATCCAATCATACATTGTTCGCATACGATTATCATTCAGGAATCTTTGTAATTGAAAATTAGAATCAAGCATTTCGGCAAGAATCTCATTTGGAGTTTTCGAGCGTAATTTTGTAAGTGTCTCATATTTAATGGGCGGTGGGAATTCTTGTTTAATTGATCTAATAAATTATTTTGGCTTTATAGATTAAGATTATGAATAAAAAAGCTACATACAAATTTCCAGTTGTTGCTTGTGTATTTCTTACATTGGAAGCAGCTGAGTAGGATCTTGCAAACGAACATCCATTATTATAGGTATTAGACAGCGTTGATTTTGTAGTGTTGACATTATTATTATTCGCATTAGGTTGTGAAAAATAATTGTTACAAGTTGAAGACTTTGCTGAACCTCCGATAATAGAATCATCCCGCTTTCTTTTACCATATTGTCTAAAAAAAATTAAAAAACTGACTTTTTTCTAAGGCTGATTGAGTTTTCTATGATGTATAAATACCTAGTAACGCCAAAATTCTGTCCAATGATAAGATTTTGTTCAGATGAATCAACATTCGGATTCATCGATGCATACATTGAAAGATTTACATTTTGAGCCATCAGTGATGAAATATAGAATCCTTCAGGAGGATTCGATCGAAACATACCGCTAGAAGTGCCAAATGACAAGCAACGGTCATCACGAGAATTGTACATTAGGGAAATATATTTTTTGAAAAGTTTTTGTTTTAGAAATCGGTCTTTTCAAAATATGCAGATATCAATGAAAGTCGCTCGGTTTTATCTGAAGCAAAACAGAGACAAACAGTGGGTTTTTTTTTGCATGACAAAAATGTTGACAACTTATGAAAGATACGTCAGCAGGAAGAAAACAAGACAGAACGCAGAGAAAAAGCACAAGGCAACAAACATCCTGATAATTTTATCTATATTTTGCTTTGTGTCAATCAGTAAGAAGTGAGTTAGTGAAAAAGATAATATTCTCTTCAACTATAAATAAGAAATAACAATTTCATGAATTGTTCGCCATGACTTTTACATACTGAGGAACTCGCTTCTTTAACTGACTGTCAATATTGAAAAAAGCAGAAACAAAACGTTCTGATGTTAATCTACTCAGTTTTAAGAGGGTGAGTGGCTGCGCGGTGTGAATTTGTTAGTGGGTGTTCCTCCTGTGCCTGTCGCTTTAAAAAAAAAGCTACGCACACCCACAATAACACGCAAACCCACATCCACACCCACACCCGTACCCACCCATTTAAAATTAAAGATGTCTGCTGACAACTTGTTGTTCGTTAAATAATGAGTTCTTTTTCTCTTTTGCTTCTTATATATGCCTCGACTGGGTTTTTTTAATCAAACGAAATAAAAAATATTAGATATCTATTGACGACACATGAATCATGTTTGAAGCAAAGCAAATAAGAATGTTTTCTCATGACGAGTAACACTTACTTCTGTTATCTGAATTACAAAACAAGCAAAACTCTCTACTGAGCATTTCCTCTTGCTATCGATCCTCATATAAGAAAAACTAAACAGCGAAGTCCCTTTGGGGGCCAAAATGTGAAACTAACGTAGTCTCACAGATAACGTGCTTAATGGGATGTGGGTGTGACTGTAAATGATAGTGTTGCTTCAACACCGACACTCACCTCAGTTTGTCTTTACATGTCTACGCTGACAAACTAAACCCCTCCCCGTATTAGAAGACCCCCCATATTAGGTATGCACCAGTGCCAGTGCAGAACTGGGGACTGGGTACCAGTCGGACTGGGTATCTATATAACTCAATGCATTATCAAATAAATAGGGGTACTCTTCGCAAGCCATTATGAAGTATATAGGGATACCCTCTATAAGTCATTATAGGATACATAGGGATACCCTCCATAAGTCATTATAGGGTGTATAGGGGTACTCTTTCTAAATCATTATAAGGTATATAGNTGACTCAGAAAATCTTTAAAAAATGGGTGTCGAGTTATGTAAGTGTCTGTATATATAATTTTTAAAAAGCTTAATTAAAAAAAGCGTTCTGTACTGCACTACGTCTTGACGCGTTCTTTCAAACAAAAAAAATAAATACATTGAATGAATATCGACAAAGAAGTTTGGTTTGTGCGTTGAAGAAACCATAAATGGAGAAAAAACGGAAAAGATTTTCTGATCTTTCTGAAAACAGTTTATTTTTCTAATAGAGGATGACAGAAATCTTCAACGATTTTTGGAAAAAATGAGGTGTCAAGTAAAACGTTTTTTGTATTTACGGCTGCATAGCAAAAAGCACTCAGACGCCGCGATTTCTTATCTAAATTATCAATTGGAAAAAATATTTTTTCCAACTTGTCTTCTCTTATTACATGTGGCGTAGAAAGAGAGCAATTAAGCCATTATTTTGACTGAATCAATGTCTTTATAAACTCAGTTGGAAATTTCCAACTTGCGCTATTTGACCTATTAATTTCATATTTAACACAGTACATTTTCAATGAATTATTACTGCAAATGACAATAATATGGTATACACATTTGATATAAAGACTATTTCATAAGTATCAACTTAATTTTCATTTTTTTAATCTTTGCCGTATTTAAAGGTGATAGGCATTGACGATATATTTTTTGAAAAGTAGCATTCAAGGGCAATTTCGCTCAATTTGCATCGACCCTAAGAAGGCACTGCATTAGTAAGCATATTAAAAAGAACTTGTATCAAAGTTTTTTCTTCTGTCTCCGGCATCAATATTTTCAAATGAGGAAGACATTGAAAGAAAAATCTCTGTCGAAAATATCAAAGTATCACACACGATTTAATCTGATTGTTATTCGTTACATGTTAAGATAAGAATATAATTATAGTTGAAAATTAAAGGCCAATCGTTCATTCAGTAAGTCACAATGAGCCACTGTGACTTGCTTCGTGTCAATCTTCCAAGCATACAATACCTTGCAACACAAACTGATTAAACATACAGTCTCTGAACTTCTGTTTGTGTAGTTCGAGTATGATATTATCATACTGATGTCTCCTATATGTATGTGAAAATAAATTTTTTCTCACCTGAGTAGCGTAAAACAAGAACAGAACAGCCAAAGTGAATCACAGTGAATGAATAAGTCATTGCTCTCTTACCTAATCTTGTCAGGAAAAAATTAAAAAGAAGTTGTTGTTAATATGTTTTCCTACTGCAGCACTGTCTTAGGGTTGATGTGAATTGAGTGTAATTTCTCTTGAACCTCTGTGACAACATCACGGATGGCATATAATAAATAGATCAAAATATTTTTTCTTTTTAGAGTACTTCCCAGAGCATTAACGACTTTATTTTGGGCTTATTCGTTAGAGAATCTTTTCCCCTACAAACTATTCTGTCTTTGTTATCCAACTAGATTTTTCTTTGTCGTACAAAAATTTAAAAGATAAATACTTAATCAACCGTTTAAATGAGACTTCCGATTTTCTGCAAGTACCTATCGATTTATGTAAGTTTTTGCTTATCAAGATCGATGCTAAAAATAAAGTATCTGACATCCATAGATAGAAAATTTCGTACTCTCTACTTCCATGACCTTTTCGAGGTTTCTGATACTGTTGTACAAACTAAAAAGACTTGAAACCAATAAGTAGTGATTAGAGGTGTAAGCCATCCAGCTGCACCGCCGCCACGGAATCGAAGATAGTTTTACGAATTTTTTAGCCACCGCCGCTGTGAAAAAGTTAGTTCAGCCGTTGCAGCACCGTTACGAAGGAAAATTTTTGATAATACTATGATGCGCCGCCGCCACTGACATCGATACATATGCGACCGATCATTTTCTCGCCTTTTATGAGTAAAAACGTTTTTTTCTTTTTTTGGTTGTCAAAGTCGCCGCCGCCATGGAAAAAAATTGGACCATGAAAACAGCCGCCGCCGTTTGACCCCTGAGCTTAAACCTCTACTAGTGATATTTTGAGACGGATTCTGAGAAGTCAACGTTTTCCAAAATGAAAGTTAGCCTACGACACATTTGTTCTGAAGCTATCGGATGTAGAATTTAATTTTGAACAGAATAGTGTTATTGTTAAATTGAAAAATAGAAACATTCAGTTATGTCTAATTAAAAAAGACCAATAATGTCATTTTGCCAGAGAAAGATATTTTCCCATCTTTTACTACAAAACTGTTTTCTCGGATATATTTTTTCTAAAATATATATCAAAGATAGAATTTTTCGACCATCACAATTAGACAATTGAGTACATGTTCTTTTTTTATATTTTGCATTGACAAAGAAAGAGTGATTTGACAAACAAATATAGTACTGTTGTAGAGCAGGAAACTCTGCACCGAATGAGCGAAAAACGAATTCTTTAATACCTTGGGAAGTACTCTTAAAAGAGAAAAGCCTTGACCCGTTTATTATGTGCCATCTTGTAGGTATTGAATTATACTTTGTATTCATATATAATTTCAAATGTTAATTGCTTGTCGATGTAATGTTTTTCTTTCCTATCAAAATTTATTCATTTCACAGATTTTATTGCAAATAAAAAATAGGTATGCTGTCGTTCTTTCTCTTTTTGAAAAACAACTTGAAACATATTTATTAAAAACAAAAAACTTATTTCTTTGCTTTCTAATTCATTGAAAATCATCGTGTTTTTCCGCATTCATATTGCAAAAGGACAAACAATCACAAAAAAAGAGAAACGGAATGAAACTAAAATAAAAAAAAATTATGATTTCTTTTCTTCGTCATTGGTTTTATTAAGACCATTTAATTTTTCTAAGGCCAACATTAAAGCATGTGTACCTAATTTTTGTTTACCATCAGCAGCTAATATATCATAAAGCATTTTTGATTGTATTAAACCAGGTAAAATAAGACCCATTCGATTTGCTTCTTCTAATGCAATACCTAAATCTTTAATAAAATGTTCAACATAAAAACCAGGATCAAATGTACGTTTAAGTATGCGTGGACCATAATTTGACATTGAAAATGTTTGTGCAGCACCAGAACTTAATACTTGAATAACACTTTCACAATCAAGACCAACTTTTTGAGCATAAAGAAGTGATTCACACATAGCTATCATACCAGATGAAATAGCTATTTGATTAGCCATTTTAGTATGTTGACCAAAACCTGCTTTACCCATTAATCGAATATTTTTTCCCATAACATTAAATATAGGTAAACAAGCATCAAAAACATTTTGATCACCACCAACCATAATAGAAAGTGTTGCATTTCTAGCACCAATATCTCCACCTATAGATTAACGATAAAAATGTAATAATCAGTAAAGCGTTTGTTTTCAAAAAATGAGCAAAAGTTTGTCAAAGCCATTGATAAAGGAATTCAGAAAGAAGCAGCTGATATTATATCGTCAAAATTATTAATGTGTTCAAATTATCGTGGTAAACGAATTCATATCAGTCGACAATTTATTACTATAATTTAAAATGCTTTGCTAAGGAATCTCCTATAAGCATCAATATTCTTTCATGCTGTTTTTATAAATGAAGAAAAAGTTCTCTATGGTACAGAGTTTGAAACTACATTTTTCCAGGAAGTAGAACTGTAAATACAAATGATATCAACATTGAATTTTATACCTCGTCGACAATAAAATTAAATAGTATAACTAGAAAATCATGAAATGGCCATGAGGTAGATAAGTATCGAAAGTTCTAAAATTCCAAGCAAATAATTGAAGCCTGTGGATAATCTGTCACGAAAAGCAAATGAATTTCAGAAAATCGTTCATTTATTAGACTTTGTAGAACTCTGCTTGCTGCTTATTTTAATAGAAAAGATTTTTTAAGTTTGATGAATATATGACAGTGCTAGGATCGAAATATTGAAAAACTCGCGACAACTCTGTTTGTTGGAACCATTATTCTTTAATATCTTGATCCTAACACTGTCATTTACTTAAGAAATTCAAAAGATTTTTTTTTCTTAAAACGATCGACAAAATTTTTTCTACAAAATTAGATAAACGAGAAATTTGTTGAGAACTATCTGCTTTTCGTGAAAGATTATGCGTCAGAAATGGGATATGTTCAATTTCAAAAAAAAATACGAATCAAATCTATCTCTGCAACCCATAGGCTTTAATCATATTAGTGGACAAAAGTTTCTCTCACGAGATCTAACCTACTATAGATATGGAAATCTGAAAGCTTGCGTGCATATAATCCTCCAAGAATATAGATGAGAGCCAGCAACTTATTCAGATTACTTAAACAAAACAAGGATTATGATGCATAGTACATATTTTTCCTTCGAATGTTATACTTCTGAAAAGAAAAGATTTTACGAAGCACCCGGTCTCTAATTATTTACGGCTATGTTCCAGCTGTTCATACTATTAATTGCATCGAAGTCCAATACCTTTGTTAGAATGATGAACATTTTACTGTGACTACTTGAAGGGCGAAAAATTTCCTGATACCATTTGTAGACGATAACTCAGTTATAATTCAATGGATCGGGCTTAAACTTTTAGAGAAGTTTTGCCTATAGTTGAACATCATTGCCTACAAGTTTTAGAGAAGAAGTTTCTTCTAAAGGAAAACAGCATGCCAATAATCATCGTATTAGTGCTAACAGCTCAAAGACAGCAATCATGTTGCAAATTACATTATCTTTCGAGTGATGAAAGATTATATACTTGGGCTCAGTTGCAAAAAAAAACAATGTCAAGAATTAGTCATGTATTTGATAAAAGATAACACAAAATTTAATAGACAGCTTTTTCAAAATAAAAAGCTTGAAGTAAAAATAGATGTCGTCAATCATAATTCTTGTTACACTGAAGCTATCGAGAAGACCTTATACCTCTGATCTATATTCTTGATAGAGTATGCGCATAGAAATGTCTCTATGAAGGCTGAGATCTGGTGAATGGGAGGGGACTTCTGTTCATTACTTTATGTCTGAAATTTTGAAACTTTCGATATTTACCGATCTCGTTTTTATTCTATGAATTTTGTTAGTTATACTGTAAATCTCATTTTCGACAAGCTTTCGTTTAACATAAAATTCAATTTTAATATAATCTGTATTTGAAACTCTCTTCTGAAAATTGAATATTTCTAAATCAGTTTATTAATCATTAGTTTATTGAAAAGTTATTCAGTTTGACTCCCAGTGAGTTCAACGTTCATATCCTAGAATCAACTGTTTTCCTTCGGACTATTTGTACTTCAAAAATCGAAACTTCTTTTTCAAATCAATGTACCTGAAACTGGTGCATCAAGTGCGTGTGCACCACGTTTTTTAAATTCTTCATAAACTCGTACAGCTAATGATGGTTTTGAAGTTGTCATATCAATTGATATTTTGCCAGGTTCAAAACCAGTTAATACACCATTTTTATCATCAAGTAAAACTTCTTCAACATCTTTCGGATAACCAACAATAGAAATAACAACATCCGACTGTTGTGCAACTTCACGTGGTGTTTTCAATAATGAAGCACCAAGTGAAATAAGTGCATCAGCTTTAGATGCAGTACGTGTGAATATATTTAATTTATAACCTGCTTTTATTAAATGCCCAGCCATTGAAGCACCCATTACACCTATACCAATAAAACCGATTCGCGTCGAAGTAGGTGATACCAATTTAAGAGTGCTCATTTTTTTTTCTTGTTTTAGAAAATCTACAGAATTTTAAATAATATTTACCTACTGACATACGAATAGTTTTTAGATTATTCCTATAATATTAATCATGCAAAATAAAAAATAACAATAAGTAAAAAACAAAAAGTGATCGCCGTTTTCATTTGAAAGTATGTCACCAAGAGAGTAAATTTTCTCTCTTAGGGGCTGATTTATTAAACAGCCCAACAGTGCTCGCAGCAAATGAATGTTCAATAAAACAAAATTTAATCGATTGCTGCTGCTGCTACTGTGACACGGCGTCGTGTGAAAGACCGACCTGACATGGCGTCTATGTCTGTCGTCGCACGAGCACATTATTCACACGTAAGCAGCCTAGAAAAGTCAGATACAAATCAATAATTAATTATATATATATATATAAATCAAGAATGAAATGCATATATATTCTCTCGTTCATGATTTTATCAACGTACATTTAGACACAAAATGAAACAAAACATTGAATGACAGAGAAAAAGAAATCAATAACGAAACTGCAGAAATATCGATTGCAACGAAAGTAATAGAAAGAGAGACAGAAAGAAAGAAGATGAAATCGATGAAAATAATTCATCTTTTCAAAATTTTGTCCTGTTTTTTTTTTCTGTGAGACAAAATAGAGAAAACAAGAATGAAACAAACATTCACATACATTGTTCTAATGATCAAAAACGTGGACCATTAAATGCCATCGAAGGAAATCCTGTTGGGGGTACCATGAATGGTAAACCAGGCATTGGAGCTAGAAAGAAATTTTTGTATATTAAATTTAAAAAAAAGAAGAAAAAAAGAACACATACGTGGCACAAAATTGGCCATAGAAAAACCAGCTGGCATTGGTGGCATTTGTATTTGTTGTGGCATCATTATTTGTTTATATTTCGACAACGAAGCACGAAATTCTTCCTAAATAACATAAAAGAATGTATTTTTTGTATTTAGATGAAAAACATAAATTTACTAATGAAATATCTTCTTCAGGATGAATAATTTTAGCCGTACCAGCAGCACCGGCTATGGGTTCTATTTTTGGTTTATTACCAGGTAATGATCCAGACGCAGTAGCTGATAAATTTGATATAGATGATGCCATCGTTGTAACATTTGAAGAAGAATTAATACCATTATTTGCCTAAATTTCAAGTAATATCAATTAACAAACTTCTTTTTTTTTTTTTAGTCAACAAAACTTACATCAGTAGTTCCACTAGGAAAAAGTGGTTTCGAAGGAGTAGAACCAGCAGCTATAATTGGATTCGATGATAGAAGAGTAGCCGAATTTCCAGCTGTCGTCGGAACTACAGGGATAGGTGGTCGTAATTGTGTCATCATAGGCACTGGCATCATAGGAAGTGACATTGATGTCATACCATATGGTATACCAGTAAAAGTCATGGGCATCATTGGTGGAGCAGTCATTACACCTAAAGGTGGCATTTGTGGCATACCTACTATTGGAGGTACTTTTATAGTATCAGTATTATCTGGCTCATCTTTATCTTTTCCAGATAGTCGTTTTTCATGTTGACGAAGATCTTCTTCTGGTATACCTTCCATACCATAAATTTCAATTTCAATATTATCTCGACCTTTAACTGCATTGGGTACTTTATCAATATTTTCTTTATGTACCTAAATAAACAAAGATTTATTTGACAATAATGAAATAATTTTATACTTGTATTGAATGAATTTGTAAACCGGGTCCAGTATATAATTTTTTATGACATAAATGACATTTAAAATGTTTCGCTTTTTGATGTTGTAATAAAATTTTTTCGTCATCAAATTCACGATTACAGTACCAACACCAAGGTTTAGTTTGTTTCTTTTTTTTTCGACCCATTTTTATTTACCAAAATAAATATCTGCAATCAGACAAAACTTATTTCACTGTTTCTTTTGTTTACTATAGATACAAAATGTAATAGTCAAAAAGAAAATCTATAACAAAAAATATATTATTATTGTCATTAGTATAGTTTTTCAATAACACGATCAGGCAGATGTTTAAGCCGTTGAAAATCATATCTAATAATCTTCTTCGAAAAAAAAAAACAGTTAACCATAATTATAATGGAATATGAAATGACATAAATGATTTCAGTATATCACAACTAGAAAAAAAAAAAGAATTCAGTAAAGTTCATTAAATAAAATTTAATGTAATGTGGAAATGGTTCAATGTGTCAGTTGATTACTTGCTAAAAAGTAAATTTCTACGGTTTATGAATAACCATGACTAGTGTCTGTTCTATAGTGTCGAACATAATTTTAACGCCTCTATTATGATTGCTAAGCTTGAAGACTTCAACAAAATTTCTCGCATCAGAATCCACAGAAAATCAAGACCTCTAAAAACTAGCTTTCTGGCTTCCCTTCGAAGCTTCTGAAAACAGATTTTATTTGATTGAATAAATAATTATGAGTAAAATAAGATGTCTCGACTCTCTTCATCGAACTGCATTCAATCTACAAAAGACTCAAGAAACATTTTTCTCTTTGCAATGTTTGACATTTTTGGGCCTTCTCTAAACTGAATATAGTTCGATCAAGAGAGTCGAGATATCTCATGGTGCTCTATTCAATAAAATCGTTTCTCTAAAGCTTCGAATGGATATCAGAAAGTTGGTTTTCTGCAGACTCTCATCCAAGTAATTTTGCTGAAGTCTTCGGACCTATCAATCTTAATAGAAAATCCTTTTAGCCACAAAATTTTTTTTTCACATTCTTGCTAACTCTTACCAAAGAGAAGAAAACTTAAAAATACAGCTGCTCTAAACTTTTGTTTGTCACTATACAGTACCTGTAATCAATCCAACCTAATCGAAATAGAAATACCGATAAGGACGAACACTTCAAACAAAAGTTGAGTATCGAAACCTATAAAAACAAGGACAATATTCTAATCTCAATAAACACGATTTCAGTTAGATGTCAATAATTGTCTTTCGCGCAAAAATTACATTTCACTCAAAAAAAAAACAATAACGAACTAATCTTTAATAATTTAAAAGCTTGTTTCTGGTTATCTTGATTAAAAAGAAATTTATCTAATGTAACATAATTTCCTTTGTTTCGATAATCTTCATATGTCCATCATATGCGAAACTTTATCTAACGTGATTAAGCAGTTTTACTGCAATAAAAAAATAGGTTGAGTTCATATTATGTATCTTTACATTTCAAGATCAAAGGAACAATTATTTGGAACTGAAATTTAAAAAAAAAACTCAACATAATTTGATAGTTTAGATTATCGAAAAAAATTATATTATTTTTTTTTTAGTAAAAATGATGAAATTTGAAAAGCTTATGACTCATTTTTATTAGGAAGTGATACACTCATATGAACAAAAGAATTTTTTAAATTCAATGTGTTTTACTAGTGATGTTGAATTTGTAATAGTAGTAACAAAACAAAATCGATTCAAATATATACAAGATGAATATCTATTTAAAATAAATCCTTGAAATAATATTAAATCTAGAATGTAAAAATTACTCATTTTATTATCTTAAATTTCAAATTATGAATTTAATCACTAAGTCATCATCATTATTTTTTAGATGAATTTGTTGTCTACATAGTTTATTTTTGAAAGTTAAGGAAAATTTGCAGTTTTTCTATACTAAAATACAGAACTTATTCGAAAAAAAAATTATCTGCTATTACAGAAAAATAATATTTAAAAAGAAATTCTTTTTTTCTAATATTTCTAAAAATTTATACTTACAGTTGTATTATTCTTAATCATTTTAAATGAAATAAATTCAAGCGCATATTAATCATTAGCTTTTATATTGACTTTTGTTTGATTCATTGTTTTTTATTGATAGAATTCATTTTAAGTTTCTCTGTAACACGTTAATTGTTTACATATATCTGTAGCACACAACAATGATCAAATAACTTGTTTAATATATTGAGCAATAAAATTTTTACTCGATTTTTGTTTTTTTTGTTTTTTTAATTAAAATAGAAGAAAATTATAATTATGAATTATCCATTTTTCTTTGTTCGATATGTTGAATACTTACGACAGATGTCCTTGCTACCAGTCAATGATATGTAAGTCAAAATAGAAGGTGAAGAGTTAAGAAAGAATTATTTTTGTAGTAAAAAAGAATCTAGGGCAAATAAGAATACATGTTGATGATTGATTTAAAAGTATTGTGGTGAAATTCGACATGATATTTACAATACGGTCGCATTTATGATTGAAAATTAAAATAATTAATTCATTTCGATACTTTTCTCAGAGGCTAAAGTTAATGTTCTGCAAGAAAGTCGCGTGTCCGAACCGAAGCACGGATTCGAATGTAAACTTACCAAGTCGATTTGGGTTTTAGTATGAGATCATACTGTGACTCAACTCGACAATTAATTAGATCTTGACCTTTCAAATATTTTTACTGTTTCAAACAGCTATTTATATAAAAGCATAGAAGTAAAAGCCGGCTTGGTCATGATTATGACTGTAAAACCATCTGCCGAATGTCAATCTGCTCCGGTCCGAGTCCGGTTGCAAAAAGGCGTATTCTTGAAGTACACTCAGCGGAAGAGTAAAGAGAAATATTAGCTACTTATAAGAATGATCATTCGAAAAACAATATTAATGTTCGATGATTAAATGTATGTGTCATTCAGATGATAGATAATGTCATCTATGAATATATTCAATATTAAGATCATCTTTCAATAGAAAAAAAAAACGAAACATTTCAATCAATTCTCTGTAGTTTGTAAAAGCCTTGACTTTTATATAAAATATATATTGTTTAAGATTATTATATGGCCTTGTGATCTTATCTTGAACGGAAAGCATTAATATTAACTTTCCGCTCTCGGTGATTCTATTGATAAAATCATATTCTTTTTGTTCGTCGTTCTTTTTAAATATTTTCCCAAATCTCTACTTGTTGAATGCGTTTGTTTTTAATATCATTTATTTCTTATCAATTTATCATTAGTTTAACAATAATATTTTTATTGATGAAGAATCTTTTGATTGACTATAAGATCACTAGAAAAAAGAATGTGGTGAACAGTAACAGCACAGACTTGCATTATATCTTTAATTTTTTTCTAGTAACCGATTAGATTAGTAATTCTATGTTTCATCTTCTTTGGTACTTTACTCTTGTTTTTCTTAATCATAATTCTCATATATTCAACAAGACTTTTTTGCTCTTTATGTGAGGCATATCAATGAAAACTTACTCGCGGATATAAAAATAACATCATCAGAAATAATTGATCATACAGAAACAACCAATCTTCAAATTATTGATTCTTATTATTTATCTTCATTCAAAAATCAATGAATAATAATTGCAATCCAAACAAAAAAAAAATTCTTTTAGATCAATTTTAGTTACTTAATAAAATGAGAAAAAAAATTCCCGCTTTTCCTTATATATATATCTTAGTCTTTGTTCTAATACAAGCTTCTATCATCTCAATAAACCAATAAGTAATTTGTTGATTATTCTATGTTTAAACAACGCCATTTCATAGTCTTCATAACCATAATCTATTCAGTCGTAGTAGCAAATATTCAAGATGAAGAATATTTTATTAAGAATGGACCATTTGGTTTAATAAATTTTAAAAAAAATGATACTTTTGTTGATTGGGTGCGTGTACCAGAAAGAAATTATCAACAATGGATCTTTGCACTTAAAATTTGGCGTACTGTAAGAAAACAAATTTATATTATATTTGTATTTTAAAATTTTTGCTTTAGTGTTCCATTGTTCTCGGTATACTTTGTTTAATTTTTGCTGCACTTGTTCTTACTTATATAATTCATGGTTTTCTTACAAATTCTACTGGCCCTTTTGGTTGTTTAGGTGAAGTTAAATCGGATGATCATTTAATATTATCTGATGCAAATCTACCTGCTAATCTTCAACAATTTACTATAAAACATGAACTTAAACAAGCACAACAACGAGAACAAGAAGTTCGCCGATCAAACTATGATATTGAACGACATTTACCATCTGTTTTACGAAATCCTACAGTTTCTCCATTATATACTGATCAATTAGCATTGAAAACTTCACTTAAATAATTATATCGAAATCTTTATTTTCTTTTTCAAATATTGCAAAATAAAAGACATAAAATATATTTTATTTCAAAATTTCTTTGCTACTTCTGTTATTTTATCAAGAACAATATGAACATGTTTTTCGGTGAAAATTAATGCCGGACGAAAACGTATACCAATATCACCACAAGCTCCTACTTGAATACCTATGAAACAAAAGGAAAAACAAGAATGAAATAAAACCTTAATTTTTTTCATTTACCGGCATTTCGCATTTGATTTATAAATTTATCACGTGTTGAGGCATCCGGCATATCAAATGCACAATATGTACCTCGACCACGTACATTAAGAATTAATTGTGAATATTGTTTGCTTATATTTTTAAAACCATTTAAAAGTATATCACCAGTTTTTCTTGTATTTTCAATTAAATTTTCTTGTTTTACTGTTTTTAATACAGCTTCTAATACTAACATTTTTGCTGGTTCACCCATCCAAGTATTAAAAATACGATAAGGCTATAAATATAGATAGTTAAATTCATTCATTTTCATCATTTTTATCAAAACAAAACCTGTTTAGGTTGAAATTCTGCTTTAGCAAAATAACCACCGGTTTGAAATTTTTTTGCAAATGTAACTATATCAGGTGATTCCGGTAAATTAAAATGTTCGTGTGCCCAAAATTTTCCCGTTGCACCAAGACCTGTTTGAACTTCATCAATGAGTAATGCTGCATCACTCTAACACAAACAAAAAAAAATTAAATTAAATTTCATATTCTTTATTATTTGTTTTTTATTTTATATAAAAATAAATTTTGTTAACCTGTTTAGTTATTTTTTGTAGACGTTGAAAAAATGTTGGACTTCCATGATAATCACCACCTTCACTTTGAATTGGTTCAACTACAACACCAACAGTTGGTTTTTGTTTTGATTTATATTCATGAAATAATTCTTCAACCTAATTTTAAGAAAAAAAAAGTTGTAAACAGATCAAAAACATTATTCGCATAGGTAGTTTCAAATAGCTTCATTTCTGAATTTCTATTGACATTAAAAGAAAAGTAGTCGCTAATCGAACTTAATAATATTTGACGATAAGGATATAATTTCAATCGACATAGTCAATAAATAAGATACGTTTCAAATATCAAATTACTTATTCCAGGGTTTTAATCGAGATTCTACTCAGATAATAGACTATCGTGAACAGCATTAAAGTTCAAGATGAGTTCGGATATTTAGACCGTTGTTCTTGAGATACCGAATTTTTACTGGATTTCTTTGAACCGAAATCTATGATAAAAATCAGTAAAACTTTCTCAGTGAATTAATATTATTGAGAACTTTATTAGGGCATAGTTTCAAATTGAAACTTAAAAGTCAATTTTGATGGTGATCTGAAGAGGACCACATGTTTCAATTGAAAAAAAAACACCAGCAAAAATTCGATAAATCAAGAACTATGGTTCAGACAACTGAGCCATCTTAGGCATCGACATTACTTATCATAGCTATTCATTCAAGTACAGTTTGGATCGAAAACCGATCGGCTACTTACGAACATTACCTCGTGAGTTTAGTTTGTAAATATTTGTTTTCTTTCATATGTTAATTAGTCTTCGTTCGAAATCAAAATTTATGAAATATGGATGTGATAATGAATTGATCCTTTGAACTATTCGAATATTTTCTAACGATTATCTCAGTCCTGATTAAAACAGAAAATTTACACGAGCTAAACATTTTTCATCTTCTTTTGTATTTTCTCGTTCATTTTCTTCTAATGGATATTTATATCTTGGAAATGGTGCTATTGGCCAATCAAAACTTGGAATATCAAGTTTATGAATCGGTTTTGAATGTGTACATGCTAGTGTACCTGAAAATAAAAATAAAATAAAAAAATCTTGAAAGAAATTTGTTTTTTTAATTTCATATTACCAAATGTTCGTCCATGAAAGGCTCCTTCAAATGACATTATCGAAAAACTTGGACAACCTGGTGATTTATTATAGATAGATGATTTTAATTCTTCATCAGTAAATGCTTTTCCATTGCGATGTTTATTTGCATACCATATACACATAGCTTTAAATGCATTTTCATTAGAACATGAACCACACATCATTGGTTGAACATAGTCAAGACCTTTAGGTGCGACCTAGATAAACACAAAATGAAATTTATCAATCAAAAGATTACATAATAATAATATATTACTGGAAGTAATGTTTGATTTATTTGTTTAATAAATTGCGGTGTTGGATGAACACCAAGTGCTGGTCGATTAACAAGATGACTCTATGAAAGAAACTTCAATGATAATATTTGATGACTTATTGTAACAAACCAAATTTTTTGAATCTTGAAAAACTTTTTGAATCGCTGGATGATTGTAACCTAGGTAAGAAAAAAATAACAATAATTTGAAAAATAATATTTCTTTATATTATATGTTCAATAGATTACCTAATGGAAGAGAAGCAATTTGTTCATAAACATCCAACATAATATTTCCATCAATGTCAACAACATAATTGCCTATAGATTTTTCAACATCCAATACAAATACTGTACTTAAAGCGTTCTAAATTATGAAATCAGAAAATCATTGTTTATTTTTTGTATATAATTCACAAAATAGTGGTATACTTGGGTTTTTTCGAGTTCTTTCATGAATTGTTTTGATTTTGGACCCTTATATATATATCAAAAGAAAATTCATTTTAGAAAACAAAATTTTATTTAAAAAAAACTTTGTACAGGAATTTCTGTTTTCATTTTTGGACTCGATGGTTCTTGACTAAGAATGCTGTTTCCTAAATTAATTCGACGTTTATCATTATAGTTTTTTAATAATCAACAAACCTCGACATTGTGTACGAGTTTGAAGAAGATTTCGAAGGTGAAGAAGACGTACAGCTTTCATTATCTAAATCGAACACATTGAAAACAAACAGAAACACCTCAATCTCATCGACAAATAATAAATACAGAGCATTTATTTTTTTATTTGGCCTCGATTAAAGTACACAAATACTCAATAATGGGAAAGAAAACCGAGAAGAACATGTTAAGTGATGTATTCTGTTCTTTTCTTTCTTTCGATTTTTTTTTTTCATATATTTATTGGTTTTCTCTTCCTCTAATTCCTCCTCTTCTTTTATATCACTTTGCATTTAAGTGTGTAATATTTGTCAAGAACATTGAAGTGTTGTTCTTATAAAATAGTTTATTCAAACAATCAATTAAAAGAGAAAAAGAAAGAGAAAGAAAACATCAATAACGAAGATGAAAAATTGATATAAAATAATCGAGGTGCCAAAATTGAAAATGTTTTATAAGTAGCGTCGTCTATTGACCAGTATCTGATTTGTTATTTGATTTAACAAATAATTAAACATCTACTAAGTCTTTTTTTTCTTTCTTTATTTGAAATTATTTTAATTTTGTTTAATTAATGATGGAGCCAAGAATTTGGTAAGTTCTTTATCTTTAAGCATATTCATAAATTCTTGTTTTGTTATTTTATCATCATTATTTAAATCTAATATTGCCATTATTTCATATGATATATAACCTACACTATGTTTGTCTCTATCAATACCATATAAAATAAAAAGTGCATGAACAATTTGATTTATTTCATTATAGCTAATATATCCATCACCATCACGATCATAAGCATTATAAAGCCATTCAAGTTTTTCACGTGGTGTACTTGCATTACTATGTATATAAATAGCAATAAGATATTCATCAAATTGTATAAAACCATCATTGGATAAACTATCAAAAGCACGAAATAAAAATTCACAATAAGTTTCAGATGTATTTGATTGAAGTAATTTTTTATAAAAATTGATAAATTCACTTTTTGATAAACAACCTGAAGGACAATGTTTTCGAAATATTTGATAATAATTTAAAATTTGTTCACGAGTAAATTTTGTTCGCTTCATTAAATAATCTATTTGATCCGATGTAAGTTCATTTGTTGTAAATTTTTCACGAGAATTTTTCTAAAGACAAAAAAAAACAAAACCAAGCAATATTAAATAATTTTCGAAAAAAAAAAATTAAAACTAACTTTTGCATTCCATTTTGTATTATTAAACATAGGTGTTATTAATTCAAGTAAATCTGTACATTGTTGACATAATTCTATAAATTCTTCACAATTTAATTGTTTATCATTATTAATATCAAATTTTTTAAATAAAATTTTTAATTCATTTAAGCGATCTTTGTTTAATAATTTTCCATGAATATGATAAGCTAAGTGACATAAATTCAAAAATTCATATTCATCAATATGATGATCGAAATTAGTATCATAAAGCAAAAATATCCATCGAAGTTTTTCATCATTGTCAGTTTCAGGCATACTAATGGCTTTGAAAAATAATATTTCTTTAAAATTTAATTGTCCATTTTTGTCTGTATCTATATGATGGAATAAACGTTCAAGTAATGGTCGTGAATTATGTAAATGTTTCAATTCATCGGAATATAAATCACAAAACTGTTGAAAATTTACATAACCACGTGGATAATAAGTTAGAAATCGAATGTAAAAATCATTTATCTGTTTTCGTGTAAAATGAGTATGAAGGGTTATATAAGATAATTCACGTTCGCTTAATTCTGGTCGTTCAGAACGAGAGGGATGAAGATTTCCCATGTTAATGATTGTATATTATAGTCGTTAGGAATGCTAACTTATGAATAAGTACAATGCCATAAGAATCATCTCTTATTTGTATTCTTCCGTTGTCTAAGGAGGAGAAAAAAAGACAAAAAAAGATCATTGATGTCAGAGAATCCTATGGAAACAGATAGCATCATAAGTTATTTGCTGTCGTATTCGTCATATTAACAGAACCCACGTATATCTATGAATCATAGAGATCTAGTCATTTTTTGCTTGACTTCTTGACTGTGTTCTATTCTTATGTTAATTATGCGTATTTTTTATTATAGATCTTAGTGTAAATAATGTTTTCTTTACAAGTATTTTCTATTACATCTTCTGATTTACAACCATATACTTACGTGCAATCAATAATGACACGTTGTTTTCGATTTCTATTTTCTTTAGCTTGGAAAGCTGCGATTATGTAAGTAAAAAGAAAATCATTATTAATTATTACGAAGAATAAAACTTCATTATGTTTTAGTTTTCCATACTTATTTTCATTTGGCACATTAGCTTCTGGTGTACAAATTCGTGTTGATATTGATATTAACTAAATAAACTTTTGTTTTGTTTTGTTTCATTTATTTTTTATTTTTTTTTTGAATATTCATGCATGTATTTGTTTATAACATTTGAACATTTTGTCTAATTCCAATAACAACAAGAAGCATAAAGAATAAAATAACACAAATCTTTATTACCTTCAACTATGTATTATTAATCAAAGACTTGACATAAAATCTTCGTATTTAGATAAACTATTTTTAGTAAGAATAGATAAAATATATAGTTTAGAATTGTTATGATTTTACGTATTATATTGAGGTATATATAGATTTTTTTTAAAGTCGAAATAAACATAATAAACAATATCAATATTTATTAACCTTGTAAAAAGTCAAGGTTTTCTCTGATTAATCAATATAAAAGTACATTCTATTTGAAAGTTAAAAAAATTTTCTTTTCATAATTAAAAACGAATATCTTGTCGCATGATTTTAAATTTGAAATCTGTTATCATAACTCCTATCCTAAATCATTTCAATATCAATGTTGGTCTTTTTTCAAAATTTCTATCAGAAAAAAATAAAGTTATCAGTATCCTTAGTCTTTCTTTGTCTCTTCGTGACACAGAAATGGATAACGACGAATATGTACTCGCATGCGTACGCTTAGGCTGAATCATCGGTATGTATACTTTGAGAACGCGGAAGAGTCATACTCATACTCGAGAATGCTCTTACTTGCCTACCTTTTTGATACTCTAATTAATATTGTAATGTTTGTAGATATTTTTTACACTTAGTCGAATATTATTTCTCTTAAAATTGATAATTATTTAATATGAAATATTTTAATAAATCAATTTGAAAGAAAATTTTTTCTTAAAATAAAATTTGTTTTTTGATTACTTTTTCTTTATTTATGAAAGATGAGATCTATTTAATGGACTATTTTCTCTTAAAATAAAGATCAGACATTTTTCTTTCACGGTTCATTATTGCAAAAATTGCTGTAATTAAATATTAAGAAAAAAAGCAATGATTTGATTTCTATCAATATATCATGATATAAGAATTCAACACTTTCATTAAAAAAGCATTTGATTTCAGTACAAATTTAAAAATAAAAATGAACAATAAAACATGTTTACGATTATCTATGAAATTTCATAATCTGAAAACAATTCGTTTTCTTGATGTTAGATATTTAATATAAAAGAGAGAATTTTTTTTGGAACTTTTTCAAAATTTTATTAACGTTCCACTTAAGAAAAACAAGAAAAAAATAAATTACAATTTAAAACAATATAAATAATTCTATATTTAATTAACTGTAAATAAAACAATATCTAGTTGTTGCTGATATATGCGGAAAAAATTTCACGAACACATATTTGAAAAAAAAAATAAAGAATATTTAATTATATATGTTTTGGATTTTTACGTTTTCTACTTCGAAAAAATCGGCAACATCCTGTTTTTTGCTTTTGTTTTATTGAATTATATTCTTCGACTTTGTCACATTGTATACCCGAAGCAAAAAGATTAAGCACTTGACGATGAATTCGAATTTTGATTTCATTACCAGGTATTAATTCACCATCACATGCCCAATTACCACGTCGTTTTCGATCCGTATGTATTGGACGTATAAAAACTTCACTAACACAATATCGTTCAACATTAGGTAAATCTTCTATAGATCGACCATCATTAGCAACTTGCCAAAGAAAACGAAGAAAACCTGTACGCCAAGAACGTTTAACAAGAATCAAATCAAATGTTCCATCACCTAATCAATTATTTATAAAAATCATATTATCACAAAATAAACTTACCTAAATGGACAAATGGAGATATTCCAAATCTACTTTTTGCAGATCGACATGGCATATTAAGACAATTTATTGTTGTATATTTTCCTTCACGTGTTATTTGTAATGGTGAATCTGTTCTATTAACATCATGGTTTTCTTCTGTAGCACATTTTTCACAATTTTTTCTGCAAAATTCTGATGGTGATAAAACAATTTTTTCAAGAACTTTTAATGAATTATCTATTTGATTATTTCCAATTGTTTTTGAATCAGTATTAGTGTTTAATAGTTGTAAACTAGGCATAATAGATGTTTCAACTTCACCATTAACATTACTCGATGGTAATACTGATTGTGGTGAATTCGAAGGTGATAATGTAATTGTTAATTCAGTATGATATGATTTATTAAGAATAAATTGACAAAATCCAGCTATATCATATCTTAATGGACCTAGACAACGCCATTTATCTGATTGATAAATAATATCACCAAAAAATCCATATGCAAGCATTGCTGCCATAAAACGTACAAATCCTTTTTCATTGTGAATCTTTAGAAAAATAAGATAAAATTTAAAAAAATTATAATGAAAAATATATCGACATAATCAATTTACTGTTGCAATATCAATTGAAAGTGTTTCACCAACAATAATTTGTAATGCACTTGTTACTGGATCATTAAGACCTGTTGTACCAAAAGCAATGGCATCTGTTGAACCAGCTGGTATAATGCCAATTCTTAAATTAGGTCGAATTAAATTTATTTGTGGATCATCTATATTTAATTGTGCTTCCTGAGATGTTCGCAATAAAAGACCATGACATAATTCAGCAAACATACCATCACCACCAACACAAATGATACCATCATAATCATTCAAATCTACATGAACCAAATGATCTTTTGCTTCATTTGCACGTTCTGTATAAATTGATTTAACAGTTATATTTGCTTCTTCAAATATAGGTAATATTGATTTGTTGTATACAAATCGTGCTCGACCTAGATAATAAACAAAAATTTCTTTTGTATTGATTAAATACTTTTCTTCAGACTACGATAGATCAACGTAAACTAAAGACTAATAGCAATTTCATTCAATAAATCTATCAAGGATTGATTTTTAATTAGATACACATAATATGTCTCTCAAGGCTGAATGTACGAAAGAGGGAAACTGATCATAACAGATGATAAACCTCGAAGGATGTAAACACACCCTGAAAATAATATCTTTAAAAAAAACTCAAATTTTATCGCAAAAGTAAATTGACTGTGATGGAAAAGAGGCGATGTACTTTCAAGTGATTATTAGATGGACGTAGTATATTTAGTTAATATGATCAAAATTACTTTCAAGTATGTCTCGTTTCTTTTTCTTTGAGATACTTTTTTCTTAAAGATAATTTTAAAAAACATTTGTTCTTATTACCTTTGCCACCAAATGGATTAACAAAAGCTAATAAACGATGTGGCCGTTGTTTCAGTGTTGATAAACATAAATTTAAGTTTAACTGTAATCTCTCTGCAATATCTTCTGTGTCGACTTCAATTTCTAATCGCTTTATATTCCATCGAATTGAATTCAATACATGAACATAACTTAATTTAATTAATGTTTTACATGCTAAATTAGTTGCACTATCCATATGTGATTGAACAGAAAACAATCTTCCAAGACCAGATGTTCGACGTGTTGTTGGTATTTGTGGTATAGTATCTTCTGAAATAACTGAATTCAGTGTTGTATAACTTGTTCGTCGTGATTGTGCAACAGATGATGCTGTTGTAATATTTATATTATTTATTTCGCCGTCATCAGTAAAATTTTTTCTATTTTCATTTGGTTTTATGTTTGTTTGTTGAACACTAAGTAAATGGTCAAGAATAATTTCCTTAGGAACGTTTGTATTCTTTTTCTCAATTACTGGTTCAAAACGTAATCGTGTTAATGAAGGCACAATACTATCTATTGGAATATCATTAGATGTCAATTCAAATGGATCTGTTGTTAATTGGGTATTAGTGAAATTTTGCTCGTTATTATCAACATATATACTTAAATTATAGAGATCATTTTTGATATAACATGTCGTCGAATATAAAATAGATGGCATGTTTAACAGAAATATATTTTGTATTGTAGTAAACTGATTGAATACCTATCTTTTACCTTGTTTGATTACCAACAACAGTGTCAATATATTACTGTGGCCTATAAAAAAAAAACGAATTATTTTTAGACTCAAGCGAGTATCACGCGATACATATTATTTAGACGTTTGTGATAATATCAAAAGAATAAAATGAATGGCAAAGAAAATGCTCGTCCTCTAACTTTTTTTCATGTGCTTTACTCGGTAATGTGGTATGCACACATATCTTTCCAGTTGAATAATCTTCTTAATTATTATTGTATTCCGAAAAAAAGTAATACGAAAAAATGGGAACCAATACAAAAAGACAGATGGCGTATGATTGTATTTTTACATAGAAAAATTCTGTGGTGACTATTAATCACAATTCAAAAAAAAAAACAATTAGACAAGGTAAGGAAACATACCAGAAAACGAATTACTGGACAAAATTCGCCTACCAATCAATGTTTGATTTAATTGAATGAAAAGAATATTTCTTTTTTTTTAAATTTAAGTATAATATGTAAAAGCAAAATTTATCTCCAAATTATGAAGAATCAAAATTTTAAGATTTCATGATATGAAATTTGTTTATGAAGAAAAATGAAACATGAAAGTATTAGAGGAATAATAAATAATATTAAAGCGAATAATAGATCCAATTTTTAATTTTATTTTTCTAAGAACAACCAAATGACAAGAACTTTTTTCTTTCAGTCGATTTTTTCAAAATTCTTATATATTCTAAAAAGTTTTGTAATTTTTGCGTTTCAGTAGAATCAATTGGAAATTTTTATTTCATTGTTAATTATCTTTAAAGTAAAATTAATTCGAACCGAAGAAAAGGTTTTAGGTTCTATTCGAAAATAGCTTTTTATTCATCAATTCAATTTTTATTGTCATTGTTTAACTTCTGTAAAACAATAAAAAACTGTTTTCCATAAAACGAAAATGAAATCAGAAACAAAACTGTTTGCAGTGAAAAAAAATATCATCAATGAGATTCTCCCTAGTAAAACAGAAAATTCATTGCACTCCATTTATTGGAAAGATTATATTCGTTATATTTAACTGTTCATTCACTTGAAGATGTAATGACAACAAATTCATCGTATGTTACTTCATCTACACATATTCCTCATGGAGTTCGATACAATCTACTTTATTTTATATTAAATATTATTTTACAAAACAGTGTTCAAATGAGATGATAATTTTGTTTATATATTAGATTAAAAAGTTAAAGGGCTTGAAGCCTATTTCAATGATTCAACTTAATGTGGAATGTTTCTAAATAGTCATAAGTGAGAAGGATTTTTAAAAACCATTCATTATGAAAAATATCTATCCGAGATGCTCTTTTCCATTATATATCTTTAACGATGAGAGTTCGATTGATTATAAAAAAATAGAACAAAATATGTACGGAAAAAATATCGTTAAAACTGTTGTATGTTTTTTTCTTTTTATTACTCTATTGTTTGGATAAATAATCGTTTATCACACACTTCACATATATACAATAGGAGAGAATGACGAAAAAAGAAGAAAATGAAGGAAGGTGATGCCAATTTCTAGCGACAACATTGCCCGACGATCACTTGATTTTTTTCTCTCTCCATCCCTCCTCTTCTTCTTCGTCTTTCCACTTTGTCTATCCATTCGATTCGTTTACTTTCATCGATTTGAATCAACAGTTGTAAATTTCTTTTTTAAATGGCTTCATATTCATCAGTTCCATGGGGTTATTTAGAACCGATTAATAATATATATCCTTGTGGAATCTTAACAAAATCATCATATATAATTGGACGTCATCCGACTGAATGTGACATTGTATTAGATTCAAATGAACTTCGACAACATGAATATTTTATTCATTTAAGTTCCAAACATTTTATAATTGAATACACAAATAATAATCGATCAATATTTTTTCGAGATGTTAGTAGAAATGGTTGTTATATTGATGGTGAACTTGTTCATAATTCAAAAATTTCATTTCAAAATAATGAACATATTATGTAAGTTAAACAACAAATTTTTGTCTTTTCTAAAAGAAAAGAAAGGAATTTTTCAATGATTTTATTTTAGTTCATTGGCATTAAAAGAAAATCGTGCATATAGATTTATTCATTTATCAGGTTTATTTGGTGTTATTGATCTTGATGAACGATATTTAAAAGCTAATTTGCTTGGTTCAGGTTCATTTGCTAATGTTTATAAAGCTATATCACATGTAACACAAACATATCGTGCTATAAAAATTATTAATAAAGATCAATGTGAAAAACAAATTGGTCCAGGTTTTTCGAAATATCTTTATCGTGAAGTGTAAATAAATGTTTATTTTAGTCTTTTTTATTTCTACTTTTAAAGAATTTTCAATTAAAAATATTTGTTTTTTTTTTTTTTTTATTTCTTTTTATTTTTGGGAACAAAAGATCTATTCATGGTAGTGTTGATCATCCGTGTATACTTCGTCGTTTTAATGTTTATCATGAAAAATCTGATTTATTTGTTGAAATGGAATATGCCGATGGTGGTTCATTATTTGATCGAATACATAAAACATATATTATGACTGAAGATGAATGTAAATTTATTTTTTATCAAATTGCTTGTGCACTTGCATATTTACATCGAATTAAAATAGTTAACATTAATATGAAATATTTATTTCAAATATTCTTTTTATTATTATTATTATTTTAGGTTCATCGTGACATAAAACCAGCTAATGTTCTTCTTATGTCAAATGAAAGAGAGACAATTGCAAAATTAAGTGATTTTGGTGTAGCTAAATATGTTTATGCATCATCAAGATATTTAAATACAACTATTGCTGGTACACAACAATTTATGGCACCTGAAGTACAATTTCAAACAGGACATTCAACAAATGCTGATGTATGAAATTAAAAATTTTCTAAAACACAATCTAAAACGAATATTAAAGTATAACGGTTTAAAATTTGAGTCTATCTCTACAGATCGTGAGAGACATCTTAGCAATACTATCCTATTCTTACATTACAGACCGTATATTAATAAAGTCTCGTTATAATAAATGACCTACTACTTGCGCATCGTTCTAAGGATGAAGTAAAAGTATGATGAATAGATATGATTCAATAAATAGAGTCAAATAATCATCCTGTGACTAATAACAACAAGCACATTACATTTGACATTTGAACCCTACAGAAATTGCAGTGTGAACTTTTTTGTTTGGTTCAAAATTTATCTCCTATATGAAAAAATTTATAAAGAAAAATAAATTTTTATTAGGTTGAAATTTTCTGCATTTTGTTTAAATATACTGCATGTATTTTTTATCCTATTATGTTAATGATGATTATTATTGTTTATGAGTATGAGGTTATCATGATAAGGAATAATCTGACTTAGTGTGAAAAAAGAAATGATACAACTACACATTACTGTATTTATTTACATAAGTTGCAATCATACTAATAAAATGATAGAATGTGATAAGTGTAGAATAAACAAAAAATTACTTTTTATTAGTCAAATATATATTGTTATTTACGAAATTATTTCATCGAGCTACAAATCATCGAATATTTCATCGTTTCTTTTTTTGCATTCGTCATGTTAATCAACATATATATATAAATAAATGAAATAATCGTAGTTTGAAATTTGAATGGGTTATTATCTACGAGCTTGAATAAATAGAAAAGCTTTTTTAATGAAATGAATTGCAATGAAAATAAGTTCATCATGTATGAAGATCTACGGAGATCTAGTTTTTATCGTTTGATGATAACTAAAGGGATTTATAGAATAATTCTCGAAAACTGATATCATGCATGTATAATATATGAACTAAGTGAGATCTAGATTTATTTAAATAAAAAAATTGTTTTGATAAAATTTGATTTGATGTATCTTTTGCATTTAATTTCAATGTAGTGAATGTAATTATGTTTGTTTTTTTGTTTAGGTTTGGTCATTCGGAATGACTCTACTTAATGCTTATGTTGGAGATACTATTTTTCGTCTACGAGGTATTCGTGCATTGAATTCAGTATCACATACAAAAAGAGATCTTAAAGAAATTCTTATAAAAACATTAGAGAAGAATACATTTGCTCGACCAGATATGAATCAATTATTTCGTTATACTTGGTTTCGTGATAGTGTATGTTTTGAACGAATTCAAAAACTTGTACATACACAAACAGGAAAATATTTAAGTTTACCTTATGAAAGATTATTTTGATATTCAATCTCTATTTATGTATGTGTTACATTGTTTTCTCTATTTTTTTTTGTACCGTAGATAAGACAGATAATCAAATTTTTCTTTATTCATTTGACATTAATGATGTTCATATGAATTTCTTCATTTTTTTATAGTGTGAAATCGAATGTAATTTTGGACGCAAATAGTTAATTTTTGTTTAAAAAAAAACACGAAAAAAAGTAATGAATTAATTCGATGAAATTTTGTTTTTGATAAAAAGACACTTTATGGAAATAATTTTGAATGATTATCTTGAGCAAAAAATAAAATTTTCTTGATAGTCAACAATGTATGTTTGGTGATATATTGTACTGAATCCTTAATAGGTTGAATTTTTTAATTGTTGCGAACTTTTATTTCATCGAATTTGAAATCAGATGGAACTTTGATCATAGATTTCGGTCATATGAGAAGTATTCATTTATTGTTAGGTTATATATGCCGAACTGTAAACCAGCTGACTGAGCTGCCACTGACAGTGATTTTTCGGAAAAGCAATTTTAGTTACTGGCATTGATGTTAGTGTTCTGCATGGGTACAGGTTTTCGCAACCGAACCCAAGTCGGAATTAATCGACATCCGGCAGATACTTTCATTGTACGATTTACAAACTTTTATTTTATTTTATAAAGTACACTATTTACTTTCTTTCACAAACAGCCACCTACAAAAAGGATTATCTGAAACTCCATAAAAAAAGAAGTAA